AACCCGCGAAGAAAAGACGACCGCCCGGCGGAAAACTCGCCGAGTCGTACGCGACTTGGGCGGCAACTCAAACTCAAAAACAGAAACGACACACAGCGCGCCAAGCAAAAGTATTCTCTTTTCGCCGGCGGCGAATGATGATGATAAACGACTTGCGGGTTAGGCGGTGGAGGCGAGCGCTGGAAATGTTTGCATAGGTTGAGTCGAGAGACACGTATAATCTGAAGATGGGGTTGTAACTGGGATATAATGTCATAAATAATGCATACGGCGCGGAAGGATGCAGAAAGATAGAAAGCGTCCGTTGAAGACGGAAAACTCCGCCGGTTTTCGGGCAGATCTAGACTAAACTAAACCAGAGCGTAACCACCGTCGCCAGATGCTCAGCGCGAATTGAGTGTCGCGTTTTAACCGCGATGAATTGAATGTTTACGGGATTCATCAACCGGAAAAGAACAGTGTTTGTACTGCTCAGCGCCGGCCGACTTCCGAGGCACACTGCGAAGTGGTCAACAGGAAGGATGCGACCACTGCCGTATCGGATGTGCGGACGAATGCGCGAAATTAAAATTAAAATTGCCTTTTTGAATTAAAAACATAACTAACGCTCAGCGCTGTACAAACCTGCAACAAGCTTTCAGACTGATGGCGTTTTAAAATACAATCGGCCACCGCTGACCAACCGGTTGAAATTACAAGAATGTGAATGTGAATAAAAAGTGTGGCATAGTTGGACACAAAGTTGTGCAAAAAATTGTTTCATTTTTACAATCGCACAAAGCGCGCAACACGAATATTCACTACACACAATAAACAAATAGCAAATGAAAATGTTATTCGCAACTTTTTTTGGGCGATTTCAATTTTATCCGAAATTCAACAACGGGCCGAAAGTAGAAAAGGTAAATTTGAGCGGATTTACTGTTCTAACGACTTTTAACGCGAGTTATAACGACTTTGTCGGCCCGATATCAGACGGCAGATCAGCGCGGATCGCGATTTATGCCAAACGACGCGAATCTAAGCCGAGCGGATCGCGCGCGCCGAATCGACTTTCAATGAATCTATATCGAATCAACACGATTAATGCCCGACAAGGAACTGGAATCCAGTTTTATGCAAATCAGGCAAGAATCAATCTTCGACTAGATTTATGCTTCGTCCTTTTGTCCTTAAACTTTCTCCGTTTGGACGATTCCAGACCGTTGGAGATCCAGCTGGAACATATCCCGATGCTTTAAAGATTCGACTGGTTGATACTCTTTGAGACTAGTTAAGTCTTATTCTTTATTTTGTTCGTGTTTGAGTTAACGGAGCGATTTTATTTCATATTTTATTTAATATTAATTAATTTTAAATTCTTGGAGACGAAAAATATTCTCTAAATGACTCACATTATTTAACTAACTTCTTGTTGGTTTAATTCTACATCAAAATCCGATTTTCTTGCTTTAGTAAAATGCAATCTCTTGTAAAAGCAGCAGACAGTGACAAAATGTACTTAACAACTTTCCAGCTGCACATGCACATGTAAAATGTGCAAGATATTAATTGAAGCAGCGCCTTGGAAACTTTCGTTTCCAATTTATTGTTTCACTGCACTTTTCTTACACTTGCCACTTGTGAGCAATGAGCGCTGAAAGTCAATTTTCGGCGTTTTTCGAAAATTTTCGTTTCATTGTCTTCACACGTCAACAATGAAAAGTTTTTAATTAATTTTGTTTTAATCAGGGTGCGCATGCACACTGCTCGGGGGGTGTCGGGCGTAAGAACGTTAAGCGTATTTCACGTCGGCGGCAAGTTCGGTGCTCGAATTGACCCGGGAACAGCTGGAGCCGAGTGCGCGTGCTCAGTCCGAGAGTAGATCGCGCCAAGTTAATTAACACGCATGTTTATGAGACTACTTAATCCGCGCGCTTAATCCATGAATACTTAATTTTTACAGTGCGCCTTTTTTCGAGCAGTGGCTCAGCCCAGCCGCGCGGCGGGTTAATTAAACGCGCGTTTCAAACCGATTGCAATCTTATCAAACTCCAAATTACAATCATACATCATCTTCTAACCTTGTGTTTGGAAGCTGGCCATGTGAAAGAGTGGGTGACAAAACTTCATTAACGATGTTCTGTGTGTGTGGCGGCGCTGATGTGTGAGAATTATAAATAATTACGGAGGCTTTTTAGTGGCGGCGACGAAAGTTGGCAAACTTAAATAAGTTACGACTTGTTGAACCGCGCGGGAACATTACCGAAATTTTAAGTTTCACGCGGAATGCGGATGCCGGCTTAGTTTCACCTAATTTCCGCCTAGCCCTGTTTATTTTCCGCGCGCGCAAACACCAACAATTCCGAACAATTTCTGGCACTTTGCATCTTTGCAACTTTTTCACCGCGCTCGACCTCCCCACTTAAATTTCCGATGTATTCGCGCGCATGACGTGAATGCGAATGCGGCGGAAGCGCTTTCGGAGCGTGTGAGCGAAATAAGAAAGTGAGAATTGTGTGCATTATGAAATTGTTGAAAATTTGCTCACGTCGTTAGCGCGTTTGCTTGCGCCTAAAAGCAACATCCGCTCCGGCATGAATGATATTAAATCAGGAAATCGAGAATCCCCCATCGCGGATTTTCGCCGAGCGAAATAAACGCGACCGCGTTCTACTTTTAATGATCAGAGATCAAATCAATGCGCGCGGCGAAAAGTTTCGCGGTGCGGAAAGTTGAAAGTTGTGCGGGGGAAAAAAAAGTACGCTTACCTGTAACAAAAGAAAAGAGTATGAATATTACACAGAACGTTCGTAATTGATTTCATTAATTTTTTCGCATTCCTAATGTCTGCTTAATATTCCGAAAGTCGGACTACGGGAGGCTTTCATAGATTCTCGGGAGTTTCACTTTTACTTCGCTTTTAATCCGCTGCGTTGATATTTATTAAAATAAATTTGCGAGAAATAAACAAACACAACTTTATCATGCATGAAGTGTGTGGTGGCGAGCATGAGTTCGCAGATTGCAGAAGTTTATCAACATGAAAATATGATGTCAGACGCCGTTCGGGCCATTAGCGCTGACACAAAATGCATGACACCAATAAAAATATCAAGTGAAGAGCGCGATTTTCCAGTGTAAACAACCAGCGGCGCACTGGCTGCTGCGAGGGCGATTTTGCGAATAAATTAAACGCAACGCAGCGCGCAGAGATAAAAAAAAAAGAAAAAGAAAAAATAAGCAGCGGCATCGAGTTGACTCCGGCACTCCTGGCACTCTGGCGTGATCGCTAAAGCGGACTCTTCGACGTATCGACGTCGCCGGCGATGAAGCGATAGCGCGACGAGGGGACCGACGGATAATTAATATTGATTGCGGTCGAATTTCGCTGCGTTTGCGGAAAAACTACATAAAGCCATATAAAGTACACTCGCCGACGTGCGCGCTCGGCGCCTCCACCAGCGTGCGCCACATTAATACTTCCGACGCGAGCCTTACTAATATCGGCTAACGCACACTCCCGGGCGCATTATGCGGCTGTAATGCAAACACCAGCAGCAGCACCACCACCATGCGAATGAAAGCTGCCGCACTAATCTACGCGTGGTTGCGCCGCGCCGTACATAAATCCGCGTAATACGTACAGGTAGGTTTAATATCGATACCGGCGTATAAATTGATGATGCGTTCGAAGAATCAACCGTATCAGGTATTTGGTATCAGCGAAAGGCTCGTGTGGGCTGGCGGATCGTTAAAAATAACTTAGCGCAGCGGGCGAGTTCCTCTCGGGAGCGGTTTTTAAATCGCGGTTGTAATCAAATCAGGCCGTTATGATTAAGCGTAATGCGTGGACGCGGCAAATTAGAAGACAAACACGAGATGCGGAGTGCGTGCAGACGCGAGTCAAATATTGGTCAGGCTGGGGCAATTCGTTCCAATTTGTTTGGCAACCCGGCGATGTTTAACCATTGTAACCGAACTATTCGCTGTACAATGCGGCGGCCGGGGAGCGCGCCACGCCGCGCGAGCGCGAACAAACCCGGCCAATTACTCGACTTCACTTTAGTTGAGTTTCGCTTAGTTTTAGCTAGTTTCCACAGTTATCTGTTGCGAATTTCAGGAGGGTGGCGAATTTGTTGCGAGCGGCCCGCCCGCCCGAATCGGCGCCGGCAATCAGGAATGTGAAATCAAGTGCCTTGTTAGCAGTATAACCGTAATCATCACAATGGCGGCGAGGACAACAAAGGCGCGCGCGGGCAAAGGCGGCCGACGTAAAGTTAATAAGTGAAACATTAAGTGACCGCCGAACGGCCGGGCAGCCGGTCAAAGGATGGCTGCGCGCATGGAAGTATTACGTACTTCTATCCTTAGCCACCGCCACCCGTACTACTCGAAGAAGAAGGCGCGCTGAAATTGCGCTCTCGGTTTGATTGCCGCATTTCGAGGCGAGCGAGTTTGTGAGGTTTTATTTCGCATTGTTGCATCGGACGGAGGAAGTACGAGTAGTTTCGGCAAACGGCGATGCAAAGCCGGCCAGTTTACCTCAACGTCAGCCATTTGAAGTTTGGGCAAACTTTACAAGTTTACCAATGGGCCTATCTTATTTTTTCTTTTGCAAGCTTTTAACTTTATTATTAACTCACTAAAAATTGCGTAAAAAAAACTGTAGATGTAGAAATGTACCGATATTATTTCAAGGTTAGCACTGTTGTTGATGGCGAACAATGTGTTACAAGTTGTAACTTACAACCCATCCGGAGAATACTGATTCACTTATACGGAATTGAATGGTTCGCTCGCCTATCAAGGGTGTGCTTCTGGCACTATCAGCCGACGCGGAAGTCCACAGTTCTATACCCATCCCCAGCAAACACTAACCAAAATCCGATAGGAGCTATCATCGCCCATACAGTGAGAAAATACATTCTTAGGCCGCAAAACAAGCTCGTTATCAAGCTGGAAACTAGTCTTCTGCGTGAGAGTAAAGTTACGCTAAAGAAAATATTTTCGAAACTCACCTGTTATTAACCAAAGCTCCCGGAGGCAGTCCTCCCTGGATTTCTGAATCTGCGGCGCTGGATGGCTGTGCGCCGGCGAGTCGAGGCCGCCCTCGAGCGTCTTGAACAACAACGCGCCCATCAGCGCATAGCCGGCGACGAGCACCAGAAGGCCGGTCCGGTTACAGAAAATACGCGTGACACAACCGCCTGCACCGCCGCCACCGCCGCCGCTGCGTCTCAAGTGCCCGCGCGTGGTTGACTCCTCCAGGTCGTCGTCCATCTGCAACATGGCAAACAACAGAGGCCAGCCGTGAATCGAAGCCGAAACAATAGCAAAACAATTTGGGGACATCATCCCAAACGCATTAGGACACTGTCCTAAATAAACCGAGCGGGTTTGATGCAAATCAAGCGACTTCATTGAAAAACATGCAAAAATTGCCAGCTGTGAGTAACGCCGCTCAAATAATTATATTTATAATTAATCAAACGGCAGTGAGGCCGCGCCGGGATTATGAAAACGCGCGTCGCGAAGACTTGGCGCGAATAAAGCGATAGATGAGGATTAACAGCTAGTACGCGGCAGTAGTAAAGTAAGCCTTGCCGGATTTGAACGCCGACGAGTAGGCGAGTAGGATAAATCGTCGCCGACGACGATGATGGTCGGTGGGGAAGACATCAGATTTCCGACATCAGTTTTCTCGCACGGCAAGTCTTCGTCTCGCCCAGCCCTCATCCCCCAAGCCACCCCGCAGTTGAGTCACGTACAGGTGCTAAATAATGTCACGAGAGTAATAAGCGTTCGCTCCCGGACGGCGGCTCGAAGTTGATTTGATGCAGGCGGGCGTGCGGAGGCAGAAAGAAAAGGAGTGCAAACAGGAAACACAAACACAATATGGACGCGAGGACGTGCGCGCACGCTGAAAAGGATGCGCAAACCAGTGCATGAATGGATGGGAAATAAAGCGGAATGAAAAACGCTCGCACGGTGCAAGGAGAAGAAAAAACGGAGCACCGACCGCGCGTCGAACGGAAAATAATAAAATAAAAACGTAGAAATGTGAAAAATTCGGGGCGGCGACGTCGTGAAGCGGGGTTGACTGTCGAAGCGGCGAGAGATATTAAAGGTGGAGGCGAAATGCATCCTGAGTGAAGGTTTAATTAATCTTGTGCTGCTCTGTTGTGTAAGTACCGGCGGCATGCGCGCTCGCGGCAAGAATTCGTGAGAAATGAATTCGGGATTCGCATTTGTTATTATTAATTTTTCATTGCGATCATTCGTTACGCATTTGATGCATTGTTCGACGTGGAAATTTTTAATTTTACCTGCGCCCATTTTTAATGCGGACGACGTCATTAATTTTAACAGTCCTAGGACGCGTTTTATAGTTAATTTGTTTTATTTATTACGTTGCAACGTTGCATGCGCGTGAAACCAAATTTATTTTTGTTTGAACAGCGAACAAATTTTATACAATAAATATTGCAATTTCGTGGGTATTGTGCACTTGAATACAACCGCATAGAATGCACCGGCTTGTCAAATACAGCGTGAATTTTTCATATTTTCAAACATTTATGCACTCTATCTAAAACCATATGAATCAAACTAACACAACATTTTCCCAGCGTGTTTGTACTTACATTTGTCAGGTGCAAAAAACTGAGAAAATAGTTTTTATCCGCTTGAAAATCTCACGTGATTAATTTAGTTCCGGCGAAATTTTAATGCGGCCCAAGTGGTTGGCATTGATTTACAAAGTCATCATCGACGCGCACTCACACGAAATTTCATTTAAAAACTTGCAGCGTCAAGTGGTGCGCAACGGCCGAACATGGTTTTAAACTATTCCGACAGTACGCCGAAGTTGTGGTCGGAAAAACGCGCGCGCCGCAGAAAAAAAACTTTGTTTGCTGTGCGTTCGAGCGAGCGTGGCGTGTTCTCGAAGCCTCGAGTGGCGCACATCCCCCGCGATGGAGCTGGCGACCTGCGTGCCGTCCGCAACACGACTGAACTCCGCGGCTCCGTGAGTGAAAACGCTCGCTAAACGCCGCGCCGCCGCCGCCGCCGCCGCTCACAGAGCGGCATACCTTCCACGCTAAGCGAATAGATTGCGCCGTCTCCACGCGGCGCGTTTCGCATTCTTTCGACGCGGGCTACTCCGGGGCCGAAGATAACGCGAAAGTGCCGCTGGTCCTGTTTGTGTCATCCGAGCCGCACGAAACCCTTCAGGATGGTCGAGGTCGACTCGGACTTGACTTTCGGCGTTTTTCTATTTCTCAATTGTTAAATGCGCAAATTCCTTTGACATTGAACCGCGTGAACGGCGAGGAATTTTTATCTTCTCGAGTGCATTTTACAATTGAAGATGTGCATTCTGCGAAAAATGTTGCTTTCGGAAAGAAAATTTAGATTAATTCACTTTACCACCAAAATGCAATAATTTCCTTCAACAAAATGCAATTCTATCTTTCTCTCTGAGTTACCAGTCAAATATTTGCAATGTCAAGACATTTCACTTCACTTACAAACATTTGTAATATAGATCCACATAGATGACATGCAAAATTTAATAAAACCTCTCTCCCTGGTAGAATAATCAAAACATATTCCCAATAAAAATATTTCTGCAGTTAATAAATTGCTAGTATCCTAATTATTCGTTTCAAATTGAATTTTATGTATTTTATATTTATTTATTACTTTTAATACCGCGGATTATGTCCGACAACAAAAAGTTCGTTTTAAATTGCATGTTGTGTAATTTGTTTCGGCATGTTCTGTCACTAATTAAATGTAAAACAAGCGACAAAATTTTCTTTGATGTGTGCGAACCGGCAAACGATGCGATCACGTTTTTGTATGTCATTATTTCCAGTGGCAGAGGATTACTGCAATTTGTTTCATAACAAGACTGTTAAAAAACTAAATAATATTTCGCTGGAAATCGACACCACGCTCGAAAATGCAGGAAAACTGAATAATACAGTTTTGTCTCGCGCTGCGCGCAGGTAAAATAATATCATTGTGCTGGGATGTACATGCATCGCATCCTGTTTCAGCTCCCCACGTGCCACGCCAACATTTTATATTGTCTGAACGTCGACGGCGCACGTTTCCGAAAGATATGTTCCCCACGTTTGCTCCTTAGCGATGTTGTACGTGCAACTTTGACTCCGACGTGCACGCCGACAGATACAGATAGAGAGTAAACGCTCGCGCCGCGTCGAAATTGAAATCGTCCACGCCATAAAGATTTTCATTGTCGATGGCTGGTGCGCTTTTAATGTCTGCTGCAAAACGGCAATCAAACGGCGGCATGCGAATGCAGAATGCAGGCGGGCGTCTTCAAGTGTCACGCGTCGCGTTTTAATTAAGTGCGCGACAGCCAGCGCGTTAATTATTGCAGGACTGGTGGGAATATCAGCGTGATGAGGAATGACCAAAGTTTGTTCCTGGTAAACGAGTTTCGGTGACTGCAGCGAGTCAAACGTACAGCCGGCGCTTGATAGCATTATCGGATGCTATCAATTATCTAAGCAGCACTAAAGCGAACATTATCATTAAATAATAATTCCACGGATGGGCCAAGAATACATAAAAATGATTTACGCGTCGGCTTTTTTCGAGGCGCAAAAAGGCGCTTGGAGAACAAGCGCGGCGTGGCGCTGGGGCGAGCGTGTAAATCTTCGTTTCTTCTTCAATCTTGCTCGCGCGTGCAGTCCGGCGGTGGCGGCGGCGGCGGCGGCGGCTCGGTCAGACAACCTTTTGTGTTACGACACTCCGGTGCTCATATGGAAAAACGTGCGGCGCGCGCCAACGCAATCTGTACATCTCTCTGGCGACTTTACGGCTTTAGCATTCTCCAACGGTGCATCCAGACACCCCGACCAAGTCTTCTTCATATCCATGAAATCACATTTCACGTCCATTCTTTTCCTCGTGTTGGTTTTATTTTTTGTAAGCACAAACTTACGAGTTACTAAACACAAGGCGTTTAAAATAAAAAATAAATGTATGTTTATGCAACAATTGAAGCAAAATTTAACAGACTAACAGGGCTGATAGTCTCATTGGCTTACTGCAGGTGTTCCTTGATATCACCAGTGTTGAAAACCTACAACTCATTGGTAAATTAACATCGGTAGTGTATAACATTGATAATCTCACCATGAATCTTCCATATAACTGAGTAAAACAACATTTTTCTCTGAAATCAATGCCAACTTTAAATCTACTACTTAAAATACAAACGTTTTAAGTTGATATTGTTATACAAACTACAAGAGACGAGAATTCTATGCAAACCATGCTGCCAAAGCGCAGTCCAACCTGAAAAGGAGCCTAAAGAACTACGACCACAAAAGAAAAGAGCGCATGCTACAAAAAAAACTCGAGCAGCCCATTCAAACGGAAAACGTATTGTACTAACACGTCTTTACGAGTATATTCAGTAGTTTAGGCTGTGTGTCATCCATCCAACAGAATCGTATACTTATATTTTGAGTGCGAATAATACTACAAAGTAGAGCAATATGCAATTCACTCACCAAACAAACAACCGATAAGAACAAGAAACCTGCTGCACGCCGCACAACTCACAAACAACTAATCGCATCGTCCAAACAAGTCGGTGCAAGTCTACTTCGAATTTAATTTCAATATGCGTATGGTAGCGCCATCTAGCGTCTCAATAACGAGTTATCTATAAGTAACATTTACTTAACGCATTTCACATTTAAAACATAATAAAAATTATCACGAATTTCCTACAAAGAAAAAAAAAAACACTTTTATTCATTTAGATTTATTTTGTTAATAATTATACTCGCTTTGTTAATTACCAATAAGTTCAATTCAGTTATTATGATGACATCACGTTTTGCACTGAACGTAACTAAAATAAACATCAACATAAATCAGTTTCATTAACCAACACTCGTCAACAAATGAGATTTTCATAGCGGAGCGTGTCGGTGTGCGCGCATTTCACTTGCAATTACCCACCGTTCGCTGTGTCATATAAATATCGCGTGCGCGTTGTTCATTCAATAATATTTGTATTTATTTGTAACGAGCGCCCAAATGTCCCGCGTTAATATAAACATTGTAAACGTTAAAGTTGCCGTTTATAATGTTGATATCGCTTCGTAAGTTAATGTAGCTATAAATCTGCGTTACGCGCGTGAGTGCTTGTTACATTTATGCAATTTTCCGTGCACGTCATGCAGATGAAACATTTATATTGTCAGGATAACAAAACAAGACGGTAGTGCACCAGGAGGAAATAATTTTATGTTTGTTTCTTAGAATAATTGTTATTTAGGATGAGAATTGTAGCGTTAATATGTGTTATAAATACGTGTATGAGTATTTTGAGCGATTTGTATGTTTGTTCCTCTTTCACTCAAAAACTACTCAATCAATTTTTATTAAACTTTACAAAATTATAGCTTATTAATCAGAATAGGAGATAAGCTAGTGTGTGTTGCGGAAATATTACTCCAAGGTGGTAAAATTAAGGATTAAAGTTGACGCGTATTAAAATTTCTCATTTCTATAAATTAGCTGCAAGAAATACTTTGAAACATAAACATTTTTGCCCGCATTTTGTCGACAATAATATAACGACTGGGACATTCACTCATCTATGCCGTAATTCCATAATTCCATTCCTGCTCGACGCCTGTTCCGTTGCGTTTCCAGCACTTCCGCATTCTTCGCTGTGTATTCTATTCCATATCGCTTGTAACTCGCCGCTTGCAATTCTATCAGCTATGCGTCTGCAATATTTATGCGCATTTTCACTACACTATAAAACCGTGCGTTTCCGTTCGCTTCCGCCTCCCCTTTATCATTTGAAGGGGGCGCGAGCGCGTTTCGGCGGCGGCGCGCACCGCCGACGTGCTGCCAATTGTTTCACGCAGGACCGGAACTTTCGACTGCTTTCAGCACATTTAAAAAGCTAGCGGCGCTTTGGGCACCGGATGGCAAACGCTGCCAATCCGGCCCTGCCGCCGCCAGCCTTGGGGGAATGATAAAATTTTTATGTTCGCGCCGCCAACGACTGCGACGACGATTTTATTTACAACCCTGCGTTCCTTTTTAACTCAATTTAAAGACGATTTACATAAATACTGAAGGTGTTCAACTCTTTTTTACACTTTATCACTTCGCGGCGCTGTTTTGTTTCGCCGTTTGGCGACGTGGCTTCCACGCCAAATCGCTCGTAATAAAATGATGAAGAATTGGGATTTATGGCTGTATAACAACACGCGTTTATTACGATCACAATAAACCGTGAGTTGTAAAATTGGTTGACAACAACGCATACAGATTTCTCCATCTTCCAGCTGGATTTTTCGCCTTTTCCTGGCTCCTGGGAAAGTCGCCGGTGTTATGTCGTTCTTTGCTCTTTGATACCCTATACTTAACTTAATTAATATTTACCCTTAAATACGCGCGCCACCTTGAAACTTGCTTCCGACACTCGTTACGGCCGGCGCAAACGAGCCGTCGACGACACCCTTCCGTCCGCACCGCCGGCGCCCCTCGCGAAACCGTCAAGTTTTACGCCGCCTCGCGCCTTTCTTTGGCTCTCCCAGAGGAAGTGTTATGAGACGAGGACGCAGCACGCTGGCCAACGATGATGAAGTCGTCGACGGCGGCGGCGATAAAGTTTCAAAAGCGTTTGCTATTTTCGCTGCCTTTTTTGCTCCTCCGCTTCATCTGCGCGCGACAGAAAGGTGACGATCGTGATGATGATATAATCATGAGTTAACAACTTGTTTAGAATGCATCAGCGAGAACAATCGCCCCTGGAAAGGCTGGAAAGTGTTCCAAAGTCGTTTAAAAATTGACTTTTCAACTGATTCTTCATCATTTAAACGCACATGTTTGCATCGAACAGAGGAACCATATCGATTACAGCGTTTTGTTTGTATCCAACGAGCATAAAGCTACAGGCCACCATGGCACATTAGCAGAGGCCACCGTATTGCAACCGAATAAACACGCCGCAGTCCGCGGCTGTTATGTCGTTGCCATGCTGATACGTTTCACGATTTAAATGTTGTGATCGGCGTAATCGCACCCTCTCACAGTGCAAGGCAAGCGCCGACCGAACTATCCACGCCATACAGTGTACGCGATTCGAGTGTAAATGTGCGCCGTTTATATAATTGCGGTTTGGTGATTATTAGCAGGGCCGTTCGTCGTGGTCGGTCTTGTTCTTGTGCGTTGCGCGCCGCATGCGGCGGCGTGATTGCGCGCGATGCGTTTGTAATTTGCGGTGGAAATACAAGTTCATTGCCAGTGTAAATAGCAACAATGAAATGATCATGTTACAACGCTTGTGAGCCAGGGCAAATATCAGGATTGCGATTTTGGTAAACATGGATGACCTGAATATGTTTGGAACCAGGTAGATTGAATTATCATTAAAACTTTGAATTTTTGGAAAGCAGAAAGCAGAAAATAATCAAACTAATAATATTTATTATGTTTTTTATATATTTAGTTGCAAATTAAGTGGATTAAAAAGTGAAAAAGCTAAAAAATTAACCGATGACGAATTGGACCGTACTTTGAAGGAAAATCGAACCAGAAATCCAAAAGTGGAGTAAGTCCACATTAAATAATCCACAAATAAATAAATATTTTACTAAAAATCAATTTTAGGAATTTATTTCGTTTCTTGGACGAAGTAGACTCCACAAATGCAAAATTAGCAGACAATTTAGCAGATTCGATAAACATAACAAAAATTCAAAAAGATTTGTCAATTTTGCGGCAGGAAAACTGCGAAATAAGCAAAAATCAAGAGAATAAAATTAAGCAGCTTCGAGAGCAGAAATTGAAACTAGACGAGCAGGTCCAACGCCACCAAAAGATGATCGATGAAGTAATGCTTGATAAGGTAGCGCTAAACAAACGCTGCGAAGAGCTCCTCGCCGAGTCGTTAACTCGCGATATCAAATACAAAAACAATCTGAAGGCCATGGAGGAGAGGCACGCCGAGGAGTTGCGGCGCGCCAAAGAGTTGCTGAAAGCTGCCAAAGCAGAATGGGCCACGTCAAAAGAAAAAGTGAAAAAAGTAAAACAAAAAACTATTGTGTTCATAATTTCACACCTTTACTTCTTCTTTTTTTATTATTTTTTAGGTGCCATCGGTTAAGTGTATTGAGAATGAACTTTTAGCCCTCAACGACCGATTTGCACAGAAAGAATTCGAGCTGCAGCGGAATCATGAGCAGGAAATTCGATTAGTTCGGCAAGAACTAGAAAAGGCCAAGGCAACCGAGCTGCAAATATTAAAAGAAAAACTCACGGCAGAGAAAGAAACGGCGCTGGAGGCAGAGCGCCAGCGTCTGCATGAACAACATCAGGAAGAAATAACTAAGATGACTAAACTACATGAAAGTCAAAAGCAGAGTTGGTCGAAGTATTTCGCTGATAGGGTCAAGGACTGCGAAGTGCGCGAGGCGCACGCACGCTCCGTACTGGATCAAGAGATCGAGCGAATCAAACAAGACACGGCGAGGCAAATCGAGGCGGTAAATGAACAACACCAGTTTGAGCTGGTGATTGAGAAGGATAAAATGAAGTTGCAGATGCAAAAATTCACGGTGGACGTGGAGAAGAAGCTGGAAGTTGTGATGCAGAAGAAGGAAATTGAGATTCGGAAACAAGTCATTTCCGAGCGAGATGTGCAAATTGAGAAGATCACCGAGGAGTTTCAACGTGTATTATCCAGAGAAAAAAGCAACTATCTTACGAATATTGCGTATTTATTTATTTTTTATTGAAAAAGTGAAAAAAATGTTATTTTTATTTAATTTACAGGGAATTAGTGGAGAAAAATAAAATAACTGTTAACAACTACGAGAAACAACTAACTGAATCAAATGATCTGAAAATCAGTACACACAAAGTTCTGCAATCACTACAAATTGAGTTAAATGATATAACTCAACAACTACAAACAAAAAACATGGTAATACTAAATATTTTTTACTCAAACAAAGTATTAATGCAATATTTTTAGGAATATAAAAACCTGCAAGCTGAGAAATGTTCAAAAGAACGAGAAATCAACGATTTGAAACAACAGGCTGAGTTTAACCAGCTAGCTCATTCCCAAGCAATTGAAGAAGTTGGTGAAAGGTACACTACTTTATAAAATGATTATCTGTATTTAAAAAATAACGATTTTTTTCTCTTTTGCTTTGCAGGGTGAAACAAACACTGGCATCTAAAGATCAACAGATCACATTGTTATCTGAAAAAGTAAAAGCTCTGCAGGCTGCTTTCAAAGAGCAGCTGAATAACGCCAGTCCAATCTAACTGCAAATATAACGTATAATCGTATACATCGAATAATTATAAAACATTTATTTTCGTCCAGTAAATATTAATATGAATCAATATACTGATCATTTAGTTTCTCAACCAGATTGTACTTTTGTATGCCTGTTGGGTGGGAACACCTGGTCCCATTCACTGTAGCGCTTCTCATTGAGATTCTCACGCATTACCAGCTTATTACCGATTTCCATGTATTTTTTATTTTTGGTTGTATATGGTTCCCACTTGGTGTTGTCGAGGATATCTGTAACGGTGGGAATAGGTTTGCCGGATTGGACGAAGTTCGCCCACAACGCGGTCATTTTCTGTAGCATGGTAGTCTCGGGATCACTCTCCTTGAAATCAGGGAAGCTGGTGGAGTGGAAGAGGTACATGAGGTCATCGCCGTTGACGACTCCGTATGGTGTGCTGTTGTTGGTTGTTGGGTCGTAGAAGTTGCTGTATTTGCCAGCGTAAGTGAAACTGTAGTAGAAGACACTCTCGTTGCTCTTCTCGGCGATTACATTGGCGGCATGGTTCACGCCATAACCAACAATGGCATCAGTGAAGAACTAAACAATAAATTATAATAATAAAATATTTAGTTTTGAATAATAAGAGAATACTTACTAAAGCTAATTTAGAAAGAGATGAATTATCGATTTTAGCATCCTGCAAGTAGAAGGTCCTTAAAGCCTTGGAAATGATTTTTGAATTTTCAGTCTCCTTCTCGTACATGAAAACTTGCGGTGCGTATTTCTCAAATTCATTGTCCATGAGTTGTAGTTCCGTATCATTGTTGGTCAGACCTACAGAAACAAAAACAACACAAAAATAAACTTTTGAGACTAAAATTTTGTCTGGATAATAATTACAGAAAGCTTTGCATCCAAACTCGTCTTTTGTAGATCCAATCAAAACAGGCACTTTATTCAATTTCTCCTGAGCAATGAGTTCCAGCGGGTGGGCAGTTAGGAACCGCGATTGTACAAAGTCTTCTTCAATGGTAGGCAACCACAGATAGTGCGGGTCCTCTGTACTTACTAAAACTTTCAGATCTACATTGTGATCGGTGATCTCCTTTACTGTTTTTCCTCGCAGACACTTAATCAAATTAGCGGTGGAGTCAATCGGGCAGCTTAAATGTTTCGCCAGTTTCTGGATCACATCCAAATTGTTGTTGGAGATTGGGACGTTACCGAATGCAGAGCCACTCATAATGATAGCCTTATTGAACAAACCTATCAAAAAACAACAAAATTATTTGCGATTAAAAAATGATTATTACTAAGTATACCTTTAGATAAAGGTGAGACTAAGTGCAAAGAAACACTGAAAGCTCCAGCTCCATGTCCTGCTAGAGTGACCTCATCAGCATCACCACCGAAGGCAGCAATGTTTGCTTTGACCCACTTCAAAACTTCAACTTGATCCTTCATCCCATAGTTGCCAGTGCCTTCTTTATCGCCGGTATTCAGGAAGCCAAGTGCGCCCAGGCGGTAATTCGCCGTCACCAAAACTATGTCTTGATCCAAGAGATAGTGTGGGCCTAGAATGGTGCTCATTCCAGACTTGTTTGTGAAGTCACCTCCGTGAAAGAAGACAATAACTGGACGTTTTGGATTATCGTTACCTTTATTAAGCTAAATAAAGTGAATTAAGTAAAAAAGTCTAAATGTTTGTAACTTAACAGTACCTTTGTTGTGTAGACATTCAAAAGTAGGCAATCTTCACTGGTAGGCTCCAAATAAGGTTGTGGACACGCAGGGCCATCCTGTGTCGCATTATACACTCCTTCCCATTTTTCCGGCGCTTGCGGAGGCTGGAATATATCAACAATATTGATCAGTATTCAACTCCTTTGAAATCCGTGAACTTGGAGAAGCGGGTAAGGAAAAAACACGAGGAGCAGTCTGCGCTCGCACGCAGTGATCTGTTTGTAATCGAGTTATGCAGGGAGGAAGCGAATGATAATTACTTGGAATCTGAGTTCGTTGATGGGCGCCTTGGCGTATCTGATGCCGCGGAAGGCGTAGATGTGCTTGCCGAGTCGAGAGTTTATAATGGAGCCCTGGATGTCGCCCAGCGGGGAGGCGATCGTCGGGTAAGCGCTGTGCAAACTTGTCGTTTTGCTCACCGGCACACCGTAGACGCATGCGAGCAGCGCGTAGAAGGCGAACGCAATTTGCCCAAGTTTACACATTTTTCTTGGCTGAAATTAATTCCACCTAGACATTCCCACAGTCACAAAACTTATACTAACTGTATGTCTCTATGGATTGCTAGCATATCTAACATGACACTATTTAGTTACAGTTTCGTGCATGAAATAATTCGAATAATTAAGTTTTATCCGATTTTCAATGGAGAATACTCACTATTCACTACAAGCAGCAGTTGTCTGGACATCAAGTTTGGACAACAAACCACGAACTGGGTCATAGGTATCCAAGATTTGCTTTTATACCCGCGTTAACCATCAGCTTGTTATCTTACAATTGCCATGATTTTTTAAGCATCAATATTATCCAATTGATGTTTCTTTTGATGCGAGTCAAACAATTTGGAATATTCCAGCAACCAACTTCACGTTTCACGTCTCACGACGTGCCAATGCACAGTTTTAATAATAAATTATAATAAACGATTACCGCAATGACATATTGTAAGTTGATTGTTCAGGAAGGTGATTTTCTCATGAAGTGATAAAAGTGCGTGTCAAACAAATTATTGAACGCACTGTATGTTTGCGTTGCTAATGTCCACGACAAGGGCCAATTTTCCAATTTGGAATATCATCCGACCCGTTCAATATTAAGATATTGCATCCGTTTGCGACCTATCACAAACAAATTACGATTAGCACACTAAATTGCCGCTCAAATTGCTTCAACGAGTTCCAACAAACGCTGCTATCTCAACTTGTGCAAACATCAATCAACTACAAGCCGAAATAATCCATCAAAGGCACGTCGTGATTTCTGCAAGTTTCAAAGCATAGAAAAAAATATATAAAAAGAGTTAAATATTGACTTTATTTTTATTTCGTAGTAACATTTGTGGCGAGTATAAAAAGGAGAAGAGATAAAGTTCAAGATAAGTTTAGAATTTTGTCTCTTTGAACATTGACTGTATGCAACCCAAGTTACAAGGAATAAAGTATGATTCCTACCAATAAATACTTATTTTCAATAAATGTTGCCAAAAGACACTGTGGAATGCAATTTTAAATAGTTTAAGAAAATTATTGACAGTTTCTTTGGCCGAATGTATGTAACATGACAAATTTCGGATGTGCTTGGATGCTGGCGCATTGTCATTGGAATTCTTGAAGGTAGATTTTCTCCAGGAGCTTATCCACTTGGATATCACGCGCTACAGCTTGCACAGTTTCTTCTAACAAGGTATCAGCAATTCTAAAATGTTTAATAAATCAATACTAATCGATCTGTATTAATAAAACCTACCGTGAGATGATTAACCATGCACAAAAGTCAGGACTCCTTTGATAAAGGAAACTCGCTTTAGCATCGGTATGAAATTGCAGTTTATATTCAATCAATTTCAAAATTTGTTCTTTTGGCAGGATTGACAGTAAAGGAAGATCTTTCCCATTCATTTTCTCGGTGAAGTGCGGTTGTCTCACCGGAACTTTCTTGAGTTTCAGCTGTTTCAACGGTGATTTCCCCTCAACCAAATGCTCTTTCTCTTTATAAATCAACTCATTGGAATCCGTGCATTGGGTAATACTCAAACTGCTCAGCTTCCGCAGAAGTTGATTATTTGGATCCATCATTTGTATCTGTGCCATAACATCACTGCATCCTTCATCCGACTGCGCCTCTTTCACGCAGAACAACTTTGCATTGTCAGGGCCAGTCACAGAAATCGTCCGGCTGAAACAAGCGTAGAAGAAAATGTGTTTTCATCAATTTCAAGCATCTCCCGATGAAATTGTGCGAATCACAGCGTTTTGATTTTCGATGATGTTTCTCGAAATTGAGGCGTGCAATGTTTAGATTCGGTAAATTTATCGGACGGCGTGTACACCAGACGCACATAAATGTAAATCCGAACGTATTATTAGACTTTATTTTACTTATACATTTTTTTGGCAAACGACAAGCTGCAAAACAGAGAGCTCCGAGCTGTTTGCACCCAACACCAGCGACCGTGTGCAAGTCACACCCACGTTCAGTCATTGCCATATGTCCATCAGAATTTTCTAATTTGTCGGTGAAATTGTTCGATTCTAATGAGAAAATTCACCATGTACGTTGAGCATGATGAATGCAAAGCACCGACCTATTGTGCACTCTCAATCCCGGACCCAATTATATATCATATTTTCGTTTTTCGGCACATCGCCAAATGATGAAGTCGAACGCCACAACTCATTACCCAGAAGATGCGCACACATTTATGATTACACGTCCAGTTTGATCAATGCTATTAAAACCCTGTTAAATTGGAATTATCTTGATCTGGATCACTGTCTCATTTCGCTACACAACATTTATATATAAATATTTCACTTATTTCTCTTAAATCTAAATATTTTCAAACTGCCATAAATTACTTGGACCGCGTGTAATGATGTAAATATTTAAGTAGATTGCTGTGCTTCTCACATAGAAGATAGCCAATTTGCCGATACTAATTGGCAGATGGTCGGCAATGCTTAAACGAGATGGAACAGTTGTGAGCGCTTCGTGTCAATATTTTTCGAGCGCGTAAATCGGAGCACTTCGAGTTAAAAGCCATGTTGACTGTTTAATGTGTTTCTAGAGCATCAAATCATTTCTCTAGATACACGCTGAGGTTACATAAATTAAGCAGTGCAGCTTATAATATTTAGAATAAAATATCACCTGCTTATTTTTGGCTTTATGTATTATTTTGTCATCTGTTGAGATGTGTTAAAATGTCCAGAGACATTGTTGTTGCACACAGCGTGTTCGCAATTGAATATTGGATATATACAAACGTTGAAAGTGGAAATTTTCTTTAAAAATAGCAAACGCCGTGTGGTGGAAAACGTGTAGGCGCATGCTTTTTATATCATTCCTTCAGAACACGACGCATCAGTCTGTTCCACACTCCTGGACGTTGAGCATCAATTTTAAGTGCGGCTCTTTAACAATTTAAGCAATGGTAAGGCAAATTTTTGAATTTAATTACTTACTAGATGATATTAAGTATTTTTGAGTAATTTTTTTTCAAAGTAATGCATGTTTTAAAATATAATTTGTATAAATAAAATGACAAATGTATCAATTGCGAGTGTCCTGTGCACAAAACATTCACACAACCGTGGGTGTAATTTTATTACGCTTCGGCTGAAAATCTGAAATGTATGTCAGCTGTCCTGACGTGTCATTAATAATTTTCTATCTGCAGTTGTTCGCAAAGTAAGCATCTTTGTAGTTGGAAAACTAATGAATTGCAAAACAAAAATCTCGCTAACTTTGAACTAAAAATTAATTTTCACGTAATTTTAACGAATATAAACGTTGGTGGCCATCTGGTAACTGCTACAGATGATGATGATGATGATGCGTGTTTGTAACAAAGATGTTTGGATAGGAAAACTAGAACAACGTTTTTAAAAATTGACCGGCTCGCTCTCGAATTCTCTCGAGAGATCGCCTCACAGCCGGATGCCGCTTGCTGTCCTCGCTTGACCGGCTGAAATGCACGTTTTTTCGGTGAAAACCATGTTTGCGCGCGCTGTAAAAACATCTTTCCGCTATAAATAATCGTCGAGAATAAGCGCAACATGTCGACTTGTCAACGATAGCTGCGCCTACACAAGCCGTACTGTATTTGGCGACAGTGGTCGACACGGTTGTGAGTTGCCATAGCAATTCTCGGCGTAAATATGAAAAGGAATAAAAATCACTTTAATAATAGTCGTAAGTCATGGTGCGTACGTTCGATATCCGTTCCGAACAAAACGACGCCAAGTTGTGTGCCGAAATAAAACCGCTTTTATTCAGGATGTTAAAGATTGCGATTCAGATTGAGTGGAGGATTTTTTGAGGCCAAAATGTGAGTTTGATTCACAGATAATTTGCGTTGCATTGTTGTCCGAGCGATAACAGATGTTCTTACCTCTTGAAGGACTTCTTCGGGCTACTGTACGGAGTTGGAGTTCTTTGTAGTAAGCGCGTTTGTGAATTTGCATGGTGGATCAGACTGTTGACGAAGCCTTCAAAGCTCATGTTTGCAATCGGTTGCTGAAACTTGATTTCCAGCAATTGTTGAGTTTTCCGCGGTTTTGATACATCATTTGCTAACTTCTCTTCACCAACAATCTCCAGGAAATGATCTAGTATACAACCATATTCCTCAGTAGACATTGGCTGAAAAAATAAAAAAATTAAAGAGAATATTCAACTTGATGTTGATAATTTTGAGTTTTATGTGTTACAGGCGGACGCTGAGAAGAAACCCCAAGAGTGCGATCACTGCAAGAAGCCTATCGAAGGTAAATGCATCAACGCACTGGGCAAGGCCTACCATCCGATGCATTTTGTCTGTGACAAATGCAAGAAACCCATCACGGATAATGAGTTCCAGCAAAAGGATGGCAAGCCTTTGTGCATGAAAGATTACGAGGATATGCTACCCAAATGTCATGGTTGTAACAAGGTGATCCGCGAGAAGGTCATCAAAGGTATGGGCAAGGAATGGCATGAGGAGCACTTTGTCTGCAACCTCTGCAAGGAGAAACTCATTGGGCAGAGCTATGTGGAACGCAAGGGTAGGCCGATTTGCGAGAAGTGTTTCAACACCAACATTGCCGACAAATGCAAAGCCTGCGAGAAGATCATTGATGGCCCAGCCACTGTCGCACTGGATGCAAAATGGCATCCGGATTGCTTCAAGTGCAAGGTTAGTAACTAACAAACACTCAAAATGATAAAACTTTCTATTTGTTATGATTACACCTTTCAGAAATGCAAAAATCCCATCAAATGCGAAAAGATCAAGGTGGACACTGATGGTATGCCCATCTGTGACAAGTGTTAAACCTGCCCTACACTCGTCTTGCTTGGATCTCTGGATCAATATTGATTTCAAAGTTAAAGTACCAATCATCTGATGATCACGCCTAGCTTACTTACTATTTATTACGTTGTGTTTGTTTCCTTTGGTTAATTGTTTTTATAAATACAAGCAAATAACTGTCAGCTTACACACCTGAGTTCCTTTGGTGACGCGATTGAAGAATTCCTGAGCGTATCTCTGCATACTCTCTGTATCGCCATATTTCGGATCAACTAAGTTGTAACCTTGGTCAAAGGCAGTGTCCTCGACAAATGTGGATACATCACTGTCGATATCCATCACTCCCAATGGTTGAGAACGTCTTCTACTGGTAGGTCCCGCTTCCCTTGGAGATTTATTCAAATCAAGCGGCTCCACTTGTGGTATCCTCCTTCTACGGAGGAGCTTTGATGGAGCTTCCTCAGGTGTTGATACAGGTTGTGGTGGTGGGCGATGCTTGAAAGTAGCTGTTCTGTATTTTGAAGCCACTTGATACCTGGAAACCACAGTAGAAGATTATTATTTCATTTTTTATACTAAAGATTTCTATAGATACTTCTGTGGAGGTACATTCTTTGAAGAGCCATCTCTGGAAGAGCTATACATGGATAAACGCTTCTGGATTTGTTGTTCTGATGTGTTGCTTCCAGTGGTAACCGTACGACGTCTGGAATGTTGCGGAATTGTTGGAGCCATGCGCGTTGAGCACAACAGGGAATCATTGAGCATGTTGTGACAGACCTCAGATAGCAACTAACGAAAAAATCTTTAACTTTTTCTATAAACACTTTGCAAACACTTACATCGATCATAGTTTCTCCTACACAGGGTTTATCACATACGCTATTATACATTTCGTTCAACTTGATAATAAGGTCCAATAATTCTCGAAACTTTGGGGGCATTCCATTCAATGCGCCAGTTGGAAGGTGTTTTCTGTAAGCAGTCAATGCTTGGTAAATGGTGTTGTAAGCATTGTAAAATTTCTGGCCCAGAATGACAGAGTTGGTTGCCTTGTATGCGTTCCCCAGTGGATTCACAATGTTTTCAATTTCAATTTTCTAAAAATAATGTTTTAGAACCTCAAATTAACTCTAAATATAATCACATACAATCCGTATCAATTGGTAAAGAAAATGTCTGGAGAATCTGGAAATGAATGCAACGGTTCGTTTCTTTCTGCGTTCGAAATCCTCCCGTCCATCAGCAGGTTCAATCCCACATTCGAAAATGGACCTGCACTCCTTCAAAGCATTCAAACTCCGTTCGACCATACCTTTAAACTTCAGATCTGCGATTACTCTCAGTTCTCCAATCTCTGTTTTTGAACAATCATCCGAGGGTATTTCACTGGCGAAGGTGCTGTCCCTGTCACTCCGTTGGCTTGCGACTTTACTATCCTGAAACGATTCAGAAGGTGACTGATGATGATGGTGAGTTGAAGGTAGCGAAATTGCTTCGGAATGGAGGCGTGAGGAATAGGATTGTGACTGCATTTGTGAGGTGGATGATCTGGGTGCATGCGAAGTTGAATCTGTCCTTGAAGTGGAGGGTTTATTCTTTGGTGGGTTTCTTAACCTAATGCCCCTGCGATCTATTTCTTTTATGAAAGTTCTATAGCATGCCATGGACTTGTTTCTGCTGGATCTGTCGGCAACAGTGCTAGGTCTTGCCTTGTTTTTAATCTTTTCCAATTCGTTCAATCTGGCAACGCGTGCGGAGGGATAGTCAGGTTCAAAGCGGAAAGCTTTAATCCGCTCTTCGATATTTTGCGTCATTTTGTCGAATTCTTCATTTTGCGCACTCATATCACAATAATCATCGGAGGAATCAAAGCATGCAAATGTTTTCGGGGAGGGGTAAGGCAGAGCGTTTTTGATTACTACTACCTCATCTTGAATGGTGGGAGCCGTGGTATCCCCATCACTCTCGAAGTCCTCATTCCGCAGGTAATTACGTGGGTGTCTTGTGAATCTCGATGCATTCTGGACTGATGATGACGCTTCCGAGGAAGACATTGGAAGATTGAACGCCTCCTCAAGCTTTGTGCGGTCGGGCAGACTCCTAATCAGCTCCAGGATCTTTTTCGTTGATTTCTGTGTTCCAAATATTCAATTCAAGCGTTTGAAGCAACAGGATAGAAATGATATATAAATAATAATGATTAAAGGATGGTATGATCTTACTTGAACCAAAAAATCAATATTGTTCGAACCCTCGCCTTTAGGACGCAGCGACATTATGACCAACGATGGTGAAAAACCCGGGTTTCAATGAGCTGAATCGTCGACTAATACAGAAAAACCTGCACTGTATATGATTATGATCAATGAATAAAGCGATTGATGGCTGCGGAGTATAATGATTGTATAAAACGTGAAAAACACTGGTGTAGAAAAAATTGTAAATTGGGAGCGAGGAGGAACGATCACAAAAATACGTTTGACAGTTTTTTGTAGCTGTCATTCTTTGTTTTTACATAGCCACCTTGTTTAAATCACAAAATAAACAAATTTCTTTTTCGTCAATTTTCCACGGTTTTTATCCAAAAAAATGGCACTTTAAATACGGACAGCCAAGACCGTGACTAAAGTATTCTAGTCACGGGGTGGAGCTTGCGCATGCGCATTTGAAACTTAAAATATTTAATATACTATTCTTTTTTATTTCTTCAAGCAATAAAATAATGTTATAATTATAATCGAAAGTCAAGTAATTATCTATATTTTATGGCGTAATAAATAATTTCACAATAAATTAATTGCCGAAAGAACTTAAAGTCAACATGCACACACCCAACATTCACCTCGTTTCGTGTACATAATGCTATTTATATATAAATCAGCCATAGACGCCGGATAAACACGAAATGTGTCATTATATAATCACGCTGAGTTGTAAGTTTTACACACCACAATAAACTGATAACGACATTTCAAGATTAAATTTAGTCACATTGCAAGCAAACAAACCAATCAACTCTGTGACAAACACACTAATCTCGTATAATTCCTGCTAGGATTACTAGATTACCGATTGGACATACCCGTGTAGAAAAAAAACATTTTTCAAGAGTTTGTTTAATGTTGAATGACTTTGTTGTGTGCGAAGTGCTTGCATAGCAGTGCGTCTCTTTGACCAAATTAGTTTGCATTCGCATTAATCATTCCGTACGTGCACAGAGTATGCACTTTGCATACGTTTAATTACAGTGCCAATCAACTACGTAGGTATATATAATATTGAATTATTTTTAATAATGACCTCAGACGTGAAATTGCTGAGTATGAAGTCTTGTGGTTCGATTAATAACAATACGTACTCAAATATAAAAATATTGTTATCGCGTATGAGAGCATTGCGGTTACGATTTCGGCAAATACCCAGCTCTAATTAGATTGTTGCTGTGAAATGCGTATGAGTACGAAAAAAATGACGATTTTGATGGTTCGGTAGCATTTGTTTTCTCGGCGTGCTTTGTTCCGTAGACTTGTTGAAAAGTTGAAAAATCAAGTGTGCCGTAAATTCCTGTCGTTATGGGATCAAGAAACAAAAATAATCACAATCTCTACACACGTCGAAATTAGATAACGCGCCGGATAATCTCGTGTTCTCGAATCGAAGGTAAGCGGGTTTATTTTTGGCAAGATATTGTGGGAATTCGCATGAGGTGGCCGGGGTGCATTGGGGGCGCCGGTGATAAGACGCCGGCGCCTTCCAACGCCGCCGGCTCTCTCGTGCTGATTTCGCGATTTGTTAAATACGCGACCGCGTCCGCAGAAATCGGTATTCGTGCGCGACCCAGCTAAGCAGCCGCAATTGCGTTCGCGGTTTCAATCGTGTGCTCTGTTTCCAGCCAGCCATCGAAAATCCAGTACCAGCTTGTTCCAGCAGGACGTCGCATTGCAAAGCTGATTTAAGCATAACCCAAACCGAAAATAAATAAAAATGGTAAGTGACATTTCATTTTTTCTTTTCATTTTCGTTGCCTAGCAATTGAAAGTAAAAACATAATTAATTCAACACATGCAACGCATACTTGTAATACAGGTCAATTTTGTTTAACTAAACTTAAAGTGAAAAAGAATTACTCTTAAAACACGCATGATTAATGTCGGTAGTTAGATTTTTATTTTTAACCAGTCATGTTGAACTTGAAGTTTATTTGATGTGCGTGCTGCTTGACGATAAATGTTTATCGGTTCTGCGGCGATGGGACCGCCATGCCCGAGACTCACCGGCACCATCATCACGCTGATGGCTTTTGGACGAATTCATTTTCACCTTGTTTCCGATTCGAGCCCGTCGCGGCTCCTATTACCGGAAAGCAATGCTTCGTCTCGCATAATTTATACAAAACTTATAAATAGCGAAACATAGCGCATTGCTCCCAACAATGCTCTGCGCACCGCGCGAAATTTCACATTCGTCCTTGGCGAAGTCAATAATGCACGCACGAATCTACTATGAGTACGCGTATGATAACATTGACTTGTTATTGTTATTAGAAAAGTCCACAAGCATTGTTTCTTTTTGTTTTTGGTTACAATGACGCGAATAATCACCGAATTTTTTTTATCATTTGTCTATTTCTAACGTTTTGTAGAAATAGGTGTGAAATGATTGTGTGTGCACTTTCACCTTGCTCGAAAAAATTATGGACACGATTTGCGACACTGACGATGATGACTCACCGTCACCGTGTTTGCTCTTGTTGTAGTGAGGAGAATGATGTAATGCGCTGCGGGTCTAATATTACTGCACCGCATCAAATTGCAAATATTTACCGAGCACACTCTAACTACATACCTAAATATTATGAGTTTCGTGTATAGGTATTACATTCAAAAATATCCTCATTGGAATTTGAATATTCTAGGTTATGATTTGTGACACCTGCAATCAGCCCATCGAGGGCAAGTCCGTTTCTGCACTGGGCAAAAACTACCACCCCGAGCATTTCGTGTGCAATATTTGCAAGAAACCCATCACTAACTCGACTTTCCATGAGATTGATGGTAAACCGGTGTGTGATGCGGACTTTGAGGCCACGTGCCCCATTTGCGCCACCTGCTCGAAGCCCATTCTAAAGAACTCCTTGATCGCAATGGAGAAGTACTACCACCCGGAGCATTTTGTCTGCTCCCTGTGTAAGACCCAGATCACCAGCAAGGAATACCATAATAGGGATGGTGCACCTGTTTGCAATGCGTGCTTCTTGGAGAAGGTGGCGGATAAGTGCAAGGGTTGCGGGGAGCCGATTCCAACACGTGCGACAGTTGCTCTCAATGCTAAGTGGCACCCGGAATGCTTTAAGTGCTCGGTAGGAATAATAAAACTTAGAAAAAAAAAAGATTTTCATGACTAAATTTTTTTTTTACAGAAATGCAACAAGGCCATTAGTTCGACATCTTTCAAGGTGGATTCGGCTGGTCATCCACAATGCGAGAATTGCTAAATTTCTATGATCTACTGCTTTCTTTAAAACAAAAAAAAACTAAAATTTTGGCTAAAAAATTTCTTTGAAATTAATCCTTTTCGAACCCTGTTCAAAATTAACCTTGCACGTATTCCTAATTGCTCATAGCACCTTGAGTCCTCCAAAACAAACGAAAACTAAACATGAAGTTGATACAAGCAATTTGTTATTTGAAATAAATTTACTGTGCACTTACTTTTTGTCTTTTCTTGTCCTTGCCACAGCAGTAAACCTCCACCAATAACTCCATTGCCATTCGAGTAATTTTTCTTCCCTGCTCACAAATTAATCACTAATTAACTCCATCATAAGAAACACGAGCGCCTGTGATTAATGCCACATGAATACACACAATAAACACAATGCGCATAATGCCGGCATGCTCAGCAAATGTTTGTGTTGAGTTCGGCGTGTGTCAGCTGTGCGGTCGGCATGGCAACCTCACTGATGCACAAAACGCATTCTCCCCTATAAATATTCGAGCGGCGGCCATGAAGCCCTACCTCTTTCCGCATCGACCAAACACCGACACCTCAGTAACACCGGCTCGTAGGAAATTATTGTGAATCTCGACTGGATTTGTGAAGGTGTATGTCCGAATAGAAGCTGACGTGGTGGTCGTTTGGAGTTAGGCTTTCAGATCCCACAAACTTTGAAAATCTTCAAAGGTTTTGAGCACGAAGGAGAAGAATCGCACGAAGGTGGGGCTGTTACTGGGGTGTCTAATGCGAGACTACCGAGAGCGGGGTCCGGGCCCCGTACTCGCTCCGCGGAAGACGTCCAGAGTGAACACCATCGTGCTACCACCCATCGACTTGAATGATCACACCACGTTGTTTGACAGTGAACTGCTCGAACTGCTCGTAAGTAGCGCTTATATAGTTTTCTTAGTGGATGACGAACATCGCATGAGGGTTGAAAGCTAAATATAGCGCACTGGTCACTTTTGTAAACAGGGTAGACTAAATTTAAACTATTCTCAAATTAAAAATTAAATTTTACACATTCAGACAGTGTCAGTTGAGTTTATGACAATAATTTTGTTATGTTAAGGATTTAACGTGTTTTTCAAAGTTAAACAATCATAAAAGTAGATAATTTATTGATATTATGATCTATCTTGGTGTGCCAGTATAAAATAGTCTTCCTTTTGGTTAAAAATTCACTCGTAATAAATTCTAGAGTCAATATTTAACCAACTTTTGAATTGGTTGTGAGGGGATCCCATGAGATCACCTGTTTGATCACACAATATCATAATTTTGGCACTTTAGCAAAATATTCTTGACTTTTGTAAATTGTAAATAAACAGTTTTTGCTGATCTCAGAATTTATATGAAGACGATATATTTATAAGATGATCTAATTCCGTGCGAAAATATGGTGTGATGGTCTCACCTCAAACGTAATGATTTTACAAACCGGCCGGTGTTATTGTCATAACAGCCACACATTGCCTTGGTCACGTACGGTATTGTTTGAAACCGGTGTGCACTGAGCATGATTCAAACCGGCGGCGTGCGTCGCGCGCGCTCTCCGCCGCCACCGCCTGTGGCATAAATCAATAAAACATGCACTGCTGCCGCGCCGACCGGCCCGCGACGCAAAAGCTTGGCGTAGGCGTCGTCGCTCGCACGCTGCTCGCGCGCTGTGACTAACCGAAAAACACGTAATGCACAAAAAATAATCCCGATTGAATTGAGACTGCACCGCGTGCACAGTGCGTCGAGAGTGTCCGCGGATAAGTGAGGCCATCATCGTCGCCTGGCGGCTGGGAACTTAGCGAATCTGTGAAAAGGCGCGCGTTGTCAGCGATAACACTCGCCGCTGCCGACGCACAGGACGAATCCAATATGGCTTCCAAAGTGATGGTGAAAATGCCGGTGCAGGCGTTCGCCGGCACCACACAGGTTAACTTAACACTTTGCACAATTAAATCTAATCAAATTTTTAACTGTTTCCTAATCAAGTTTCAGAATACAAATATGTGAGTTGAATATTATATTATGCTTTTGTATGCAGGTGAAGAGTAAGAATGGTCCGAGTGAGGTGATGCCCATGCCGAGGAACACCGACATTCGATCGCCAGATTCCAGCGGTAATCTGAGCACGATCGCAATTGGCAGTGTAAACAGCACGCCGCCAGTCGCGAGCCCTGTGACGGTGAGCAACGGTACGGGCGATAATCGTGTCGGACAGCTGGAGCAGAATATCAAATATCTGCAGGAACAACACGCTTTGATGCTTACCGGCTTGCATCATGAGATCGATTGTTTGCGGCACAGGAATCGCGGTAAAAAATGCAAATAAAATAAATACAACGAGGTTAATTGTTTCAATTTCACAGAATTACAGTTCCAGTTGGTTTTTGTCAAGGGAACCAATGCCAGCACGCCATCATCGCCGGAGGACGATAAACCGAAGGTAAAGAAATAAGGCGAATCGTTAAACTTTAATTACGATTGCTAAAAAATCATGTTTATGGCATTCCAAACTTTTACTTTTGTTTGTATTTATCATTTTGGTAGCATCAATGTTTATGGGTCAAGAAACAAACAGAACACGAATGTATCGTCATTAAAATCTATGCTAGTCGAATTAACTACATTCTGGGCAATCAAATAATTATAAATAAATATCATGCATGCCACAAAAATATTTATTCATTATTAATGCTATGAAAGTAATCGTGATTTAGCAATTTGTGACCTGAGATTTTGTAATTTTGCGAATTTCATGTGTTAATTATTTTTTTTAATTTTTAGTTATACAGCAACAGTCCAAAGGTGCTCAATGTCGTCCCACTGCAGGTGGAGATATTGGAAAAAGAGCTCGGGGAGATGAAGATACAATTACAAGAGTCCGAATGTCGCAATGTCTACCTCTCTGCTATCGTCGATGAACAGAAGAAGTTAGTAGTATTTATTTAAATTTAACAAAAAATAATTTATTGTGATTTTTCTTCAGGAAATTAGAGCGATATGAACGTGATCGTGAGCGTGAACGTGAAAGAGGTATCCAACCCGATCCAGAACTCCTCCGTAAACTGGACGACGCCGAATCTCTCATTCGTCGTCTCCGCCGTGAGAACTCCGACCTCCGCAGAGAGAACGCCGCCGCCACGGTGGCGGCAAGCGCGACTGTTGCATTCCCCCAACCGCAGCAACAACGCGATTACCATCAGTCACGCAACAACGGCTCACGCCGTCGTGGTGGCAATGGTGGTAACACTGGCAGCAGTGTTGTTGGCGGTAGCACCGCCGGTGCGAATCCATCAGTGAGCACTGCAAATGTATCCGGCGCAGGCGGGGGTGGTGCTAACGGGCAATCATACCGCCCGAATTGGTTCCCGCCGTTGCACACACAGAACTACTGGCAGCAACAGAACCGCCCGCAGGCATCGCACGTCGACAGCCTGCCGCAGCTGACAACCGGTGGTCACCATGTGGTGTACCCCTCACAGCAGGGACCGATGCATGGCAGGCGTGGTGGTAACTCAGGTACTGGTGGCAACAACGCCGGGAATAACGCAGGTAACAACGTCGGCGGGGGCGGTGGCGGTAACAACAATCATTACCAATACCATCCGAACGGCGAGCGTAAGTATCGCGGGAATCAACCAAACCGGGGCCAAAAATCCTCCTAAGACCTTAGGGGGGCTTGAGCGTAGCGCCGAGTATCTGTTAACGTCGTCGTTTCTCCGAACTCACGAATCTTGATTCGATTTACTGATATATACCGCTTTCCGTTTTTTGTTTTCTCTTCTTGACACGCCGCACCCGGCGGCAAGTGCCCGCAAACGAATTGCCCAAAAAATGGCGGAGGAGAGTAATCAACGGCTAGAATAAAAAACTAGGAAGTAATTACCTACCACAGGAAACATATTAAACAGGACCACTTATTTATCGATGTTGCTAACACCCAAAAATAGATCCAGTGCAGCGAAATTGCCGCCGGATATCGAAAGAACGCGCGAACCAGTTTGGGTTTCACCTACCGAAATAGAACGCATACAGATTCCATGCATAGTTTATGTCGGCTGAACCATAGTGTAATCTTCCTGAGTAAAAAAAAAACACTAAACATAAAGAAAAACAAAAACGAAACATAAAAATATGTAATTGTGATATGAATCTTACTATATATGATAAATGATACTATGATAACTAATTAATACGTGTTTTCGATTGTATATCATTAATACAAAAAGCTTTACATATTATACCTTATAACAAAAAGTGAAAAACGAAAAAAAAAATTACAAATACGAACAAATACGTGAAAATTACCAGTGGATAGATCAAAAACGACAAATTAAATAGACGAAATGATTTTATGCTTTGTCTGTGAACAAAATTTTCAAAGAAAAACTAAAGTTAATTATTTTTATCTCATGATGTTAGTTAGTCTGATGTTTTATGTCTGGCGGACAGAGCGGAATATGTGGTGGTGGACAGCAGTTTGGTATAATTAAACTATCTAGTTGATATTATTTGTTGTTGTTTAGATAAAATGACGAACGGACCGAAACAAATTTCCGCGCACGCCGCGGAATACTTATTTGAACGAGAAGGAGTTGTTGATGACTAAAAAATGTTTAGAGCCTATACGTATATTTAATATTGATTATTCAAACGCCATATGTACTAAATACTATATCAGTGTTAACAATACAAGCATCAGTTTAAGATTTTCGTCATGGATTTATCTGATCAGTTCAAGAGATGGATCAAATTCAATCACAAGCGTAACATTGCAATTTTGTAAGCGGGTAATCTTAACCTCCAAGGCACAAATATTGACTGTATTGTTTAAATGTTGGGGCGATGTTTTGAGTTCAGTAATGAGGCGATTAAAGGTGTTTATCTATGTAGTTTTGAACGGTTCTGGGAAGGCATTCGAAGTTATGTGGCCATAGTTACATTTGAAATTCTCTGTCTATAATAAAGTCTCGAGCGCTCTGTAAACTCTACTGTAAACTACTACTGTAAACTTCTAAAGAATCTAAAGTGTAATTTAAAATTGAGATTCAACGATTCCACTGATCTATGGCTCTATCTGTAATACCGTTTTGTGAATATAAGCGATACGAAGGTTATCTTCATCTATATGTATCCAGTTTAAGAGTACTGACAAACGGTGGTTATTATTGCGGATTCACAACCCGAATGGTTGACTTCAGATTGTTTTTGTTTTTGTTTTTGTTTGATTTTTGAAGGAAATTACTATTGTACTATTATTATATTTATTATAAATTATATACAACATATTGTATTATTTATTATATTGATGAGTATTATTAATAAAATGCATTAGACCAAATATCAGCAATGGTTGTTTGATAGTTTATGAGTGTATCATCGGTGAATAAGTGTAGAAATTATTCCTATATTTATGATTATACGATTGAATGTTTATCGTGACTTCTCAGGTTTTAATTTAGTGTTTGGGATTGATTATACATTGATTATATTCCGACGAGTTATTGTTATGACTAGTGTCTTTTACTAAGGTGTTTGTGTTCGGTGTGATTCTGATACCTGCAAAAGTAAACAAATAAACTGCAAGCGAACGTTTTTATGTTGGGATGTTGCGGTAATGTTGCTATAGTGTATTATTTTTATTTTGAAACTGCATCTTACTGCCATCTTCTGGGAATTTAGCGAAGTATCAACAAAATGTTTTGTTGTGTCAGTAACTTGTGTATTGGTAAAATGATCAATTTGCAACAAGATTTAACTGCTTGCGTCTTCTTCACGGAGTCATCCTATTAACTGGTACCCTTATTATTAGCGACGTATTTCCTCCTTAAGTTTTTTTCTCTGCTGATGCCGCGGAGGACAAATCCAAGATGGCGGCTAATCCACCGCGATTATTTACTTAGTCTTGGCGTTGACTCTTTGGTGCGGGTTAAAGTTACTCAACAAATGTGCTCAGCATTCGAATTGTTTATCTTTACCAAGCTGCTTGATTGCAGTCGTTGGCGGGTTTTTAAATCAATGTAATTCTATAAAATTCTATTCCTATTCATGTAAAATTATTAATAATTATTAATTGCAGCTCACGAGTTAAATGTCAACTTCGCTTCGATACGTATACTCATCATAGTCGCGATGTTATTCGGATATATTCTTATCACTAGTCTGAACGCTGTGCTTGTTTCCCAATTGACAAATTTGGCTGTGGTGGCTCCTATTGATAATCTGGATGATGCCGCTGTCAAACGCACGCATTCGTTGTGTTTACGCAATAATAGTTTCGTGTACAACTATTTCTTGGATGAGCGAAAAGAATTGCTACCGCAGTGGAAACACATCGTCAATGGGCCTGGATGTGGTGATATCAAAGACCTAGATAATCTAGCTGCAATTATTTGCAACCCTCGTGTGATTATATTAGAAAATCGACCGGTATTCGCCTCCATCTTTAATCGCTACTCAGTACCGTGTAATCTACGTTTTTTACCCGGGCAATTATTCACACGATATAATTTTTTCGTCTTCCATAAATCATTCGCGTATGAAGATTTACTCTCAAAAGGGTAAGTAGGGGGGAGGAGGAAAAGTGGGCCCCTAAAATTTTTGATAAATAAGAGGAAGTTGCAAGACAAATTCGAAGTAAGAAATGAAAAAAGAAAATAATATAAGCAAAAAATTGATTTGATACAAAGGTAATAGCACAGCACTTTGGGCCCACTTTGCCCCATATTCTGAATTTTTTTATTTTGATAGACACGGCTTATTAATATTGAATACTCAACAAGAATGTAAAAAATAGTGTAATGGGTGAAAAAAGGTAAAAAATCCTTTTTTTCACTTTTGGGACCCACTTTGCCCATCCCCCTCCCCCTTCCCCTAATATTATAAGTTGTATTATTTGATTGATAAATTAATTTCTAGGCTGAAGCAAATTCGTAGCAGTGGAATGCTGGCCCACTTGGAGTCAAAATGGTTCGAGATCAAAAGCAGCTACAACCCGGATGCAAGCAGCAGTGCAATACCAGCGGTTAATCTGAACCATGTCGCGGGGGTGCTGATGATGCTCCTCGCCACGATGGCGGTCAGCGTGTTAATTTTAGCATGCGAAGTTGCTCACCGCAAGTGGCACCACTCACTCACCTGAAAACAGTTCGAGGAACTTTTCCACGCCGTAGTTGTTGGGGAAGCGATAGAGCGGATCACGGAGCGCGTCCGTCGTGTGCACCTTGATGCGCTTCACCATGAACGTAATATTGTCAGCTTTTCCGTCCTGATTGAAATCTGTTGAGTTGAGTAAAACACAAACAAAACCATCAATAAACATACACATAAAATTTGTTTCATTTTTGTACCTGTATTGCGATAAATTGAGTTGACTCGTTGTACATGGCGAGTCATGACTTCAATGCACGCTTCTTCAGTACCGTACTTTTGAAAAAACTGATGATCCGCCTGCAGGTAAAGCATACAGGTAGTTTTCTTGGGGTCTACAGTCGCACGTTTGTTGACATTGCGAAAAATCAATCCCGACGCGTCCGTAAACGTGCGATTCGTGAGCATATCCATCTCTTCGTCGATGGGTTGATTGTACGGTGTGTGAATGTCAAACGGTGGACTCATTGGTTGTTTGCGAAGACGGTGGTCATCATCAGTGGGCGGGTGTTTGGCTTCGGCTTCTAGCAACCATCGCTTCCAGCGGCGCTTGTCAGCCGCCATGGTTTGCTTGATGTGGAACACGTGCGAGGCGCATTCGCCGCCAGCGTTCGGGTGCGTCACGTCCGTCGCTTTATAAATAATACTGTGGTGTGGTGTGGTCGTATTGGGGTGGTAACGGCCCAGTGGTTCGATGTAGAAGTCGTCCACCTGTGTGTGGATGACGCCGTCGAAGAGGCCGTCGGTGGTGAGGATGCCGTGCACGGATGCGGAGTCATCGTCTGAAAGACAACAAGCGGTGCGTATGTAAATATTATGCTGATGATAGTGGTGGAGCATCCCGCAGGTCGTCACGTGCAGATGGCTGATGTGTTTCACTCGTTTTGACTCTAGGCAAGCTTTGATTTATGAGGGGCCTTGTGTACACGCGATAAATGGGATCTCCCGCACAATGCGAGAATGGTATTTAGTGCATTGTGAGGAAAATCGGATTTTCTTCGTTGCGTAACAATATTTGGGCTTGTATTTTATTGGAAAATATTGCCAATACGCAATATACTCAATTCGAGGGTGAAAAAATACAAAAAATAAAAAGCTTTTTTTATTTTTACCTTGAAAACGCCAGTTTTCCACGGTTTTGATACTAAAAATTGTAATAATCCACTCCAGGACAAAGTCATAATAAGTAATATTATAAATGCGAAAGTTCTGATGTTTGTTACACTTTCACGTAAAAACTACTTAACCGATCATCATGAAAATTTGTACACATATTCTTAGTGGTCCCCGAATGGTTATAGGCTACTTTTTATTTAATAAAAAAAATATTTTTTAAATAAAATAAAGAAATAGTTTAGCCAATAATACCTCTGCATCTGGCTATTTGACTACTTTAACGCCATCTAGCATTCCAGCAATGAAGCTCAAACCTAAGTACTATAGTACCATCACACTGTATTATCACACTGTATTACCGACAGCTACGTCAACATCAAATCCAATTGACTACACTATGGAGACTGTACACTATACTTCCATAGACTTTCAGCCATTTTAAACTTCCCGCCATTCTACTTCATTGATACTTCTTCTGTGACTACAGACGCGTACGGAAGCAACTTTATTATTTTAGATATTAGTTAAAGCTAGTTGCCAATACACAATATACTCAACTCTAGGGTGAAAATATACAAAAAATAAAAATCTTTTCCACTTTCACTTTAAAACCGCCAGTTTTCCACGGTTTTGATACTAAAAATTGTTAAAAATTTATAATAATCCACTCCAAAACAAAATTTCTTTTAATCAAGATTTAGAAGATAATGAATGTGTGAAGGAGTGCTGTTAATTGACATTAACGCATCCGGGAAATGCACAACTGGCGTTGGCATTGTTTTATTATGCATACAGCGCGCTCGACAATGGAAATGCACATTCGTAATAAATCATCACCAAACATCAGCAGTGTTGCTGCGCCATTGTGCTCGATATATCAATCAATCGCAAATACCAGCGATTCGTAATTGTGTTTCAACAAGTCGCACATGATTACAGCGCCAATATTGTACTTTTAATTGCAAATCACGCTGGCACGTGCGTGTCCCGATCAAATTGACTCCACCGAAAGTGTGCTTACTTATTAAAGCACTCCACTAAAATCCCAATAATAAAATCACCCCCGGGTTGTTTCTGTTTAATTTTTCCTCGGCATGCATTATTGTTTGCGTTCGGATCGCGGTAATTCAATTTTCAATCAGCGAACGAATGCGTAATTCGATTACGCCGCGCGCATTGGTTCCATACAATTCGGGATTTGCGGGATTTTGCAATATCTGCTAAACTCGTGATATTTTTGTTTGTATGACATTCATAGGTGTAATTACGCAACACAGGTGGCGTTGTTTGGCCTGGTTTGCTCTTTGAATGAAATGTAGCTGTAGTTGGTCTTCGGGGAGTCGTTGCATTCGCCTGCGTCGTCGCCGGCGTCGTCGTCAACCTTGGCGTAATTACACTCGGCGGAATTTAAGAAGTTTTGCGCCCGCTCGCATGCGGCGGCCATAAAGGGCGCTTCAACAAATTCAGTCGAAACGTGGTGTAGGTACGCCCACGCGCGACGCTCGAGTGCCTCGAAATTACGCGTCCAACTTTTAAACTAATTAACCCGATTTCCCAGCGAAAAAAAATCGCGCAAAAAAAGTTATGAACAATTGTAATTATATTCGGGAAAATATGTGTTCGAAAAGAGCAATTAAGATAACAACCAGTAAGATTTATTTTATATTCGTACGTAAACACGTTTCGTCTCTCATTTGATATTTGATAGAAAATTTAGATCGCGTTGGAGGAGAATCAACTGAAAGGGAAAGCAAAATATCCAACTGCGCACAGCAGATTTAATTATATCTCCCTTGCCGCCTCCAATTGCCATTAATTTTGATATTTATTCCTCAAAGGCAGTAATTCACAATTTCTCCTGCAAAGATGATTCTAGTTTTGAAAAAATCCAGCTGCACAACTTGTTGGACATTTTTGTTTTACGTTTTACGACTTTCAACGGCATTTTATTACGTCTCTGTTAAAACATTACTTTCGATACGCGTCAGAATGCATTATTCAAAAAATGAATTCTTAATGCACCCGCCACGTTATTCTTTTTCCGCTCTTCCGGTGCGCAGCCATTTTATATGTGAAACACGAGAGGGGAAGGAAATTCGGTTTTACGACAACACACTCACATACAAAGTCGTCAAATTTTACGATGCGGATATTAAAAAAAACTTTCCACGTACTGGATTAGGAGCGGAGACGTAAAAAGTTAAAAGTGACATTAACATCAATTTAAGTTCGGAGGGTTGCAGCTAAATATTTAACTTCAAATCTGATCGCTGGGAAAATAATTTAAAAAAAGCAAAAGCTTTTGCGCACACAATTAAAAATAAGCGAAACTGTTGCCGCAGGGAATCATAATCCTTGGAGCCATTAGCAAAACTCACGAGCGCCACATTAAACACGCTGAAAACGAATTACATAACGCAAGAAAAGCGAAACAAAGTGGCAAAAAGTCGCAGCTTGGTGTAGTGCTTAACTTTGTTACACACTCCCGCCATTATCTTGTACTTTAAACACATTTATTACCTTGCAAAGTTCCTCGATAGACAACAGCCGGATCGAATATAATAGGACCGTCAGTGGACTCGAAGACGACGTCGTCGGCAAAGACAGCGTCGTCGGGCGTCAACTTCATCTTGAAGACACTGCAACAAACAAACACGAACCTATAAAGAATGCAAATGTTGCAAATCAGTGGTGCCGACTTGGCTTTGAATAATAATATCACATTTATTATTCATACATTCATAAGCCTGGCGCGTAATATTCTAAACTGTACACTCGGTATAGATTCCAGCCCGGCGCCTACGCTTGAGTAAATCAAGTGTGTTCGCCTGCCACAATGCAAATTACGATTTAACCTCGGAAACTCGGCGAAACTTTCAAGTCCATAGCATGCGGTTTGTTTCCAAAGTGCAATGCGCACTCGCAGCCATCTTAAATGCATAATACACACACACACACACACACAGAGATAAATGACGACCCTTTTTTTGCGCTGTACGACGATCAATTATTCAGTGTTATTATACGCGAGAACAAAAGATAAGAAGCGGCGCACAAAAGACCTCTTTTTATATGTTTTATGAGCATAGAAAAATGTAATCCATTAAATTGAGGCCAAGCGGAGGCTAAGAATATTTGAATTTAAAATGCTCCGGAGCAAATGATAGCCATTATCCCACCACAATAAAATATTACATTTTGCTGTGATACACATTTTATTATTCTTCAGGATCTAGGATCGCGTGACATTTTTTTTCTGCGTACGATTGATAATTGGTGCAAACAGACAAAACAAACGATGATACAAAAATATATTTGTTTAAATAAATAGAAACTAATATCAAATATTTGTACGATGTATAAGTGACACATAAGAAAGTGGGTTGTAGGAGAATAAAAAGGCGTAGCAATCGAAAAATAACTTCATTTTAGTTTACATGTACCTACGAGTAGCATTGTTAAAAATGCGTCTGATTTTAGTGAGTTTATGCATTATAGCCATAGTTACGGCTGAAAGTGATGAAAAACATGAAAAGAATAAAACAGTAACTACGAAAAATAAACGCAGTTTCTTATTTCCACAACCGCTTGTCCTCGGACCGTATCAAGCGCCACCGACTGAAGATAACTTCAATCTCAATTCAAACGCAGGCAATAATCAATTTGATCAAGTACAAACCCAAGGAGGTTTCCTACCTCTACAATCATATGATACCAACGCAGGAAATTCATATGCCGGGCAATATACCAGCTATAATGCAGAATCAAACAACATAAATGGATTACACGATGATTGTGGAGACGATCACTCGCATGAATATCATACCCTTCAAGGAGTATACCAATCAATTCAAGACACTCAAGGTTATAATTATCCTGCACCACTACCACAACCTCAGAAAGTGATCACTAAAGAAGTTCGTATACCAGTGCCTCAACCATACCCAGTTACAGTTGAAAAACATGTTCCTGTGCCTGTACCACAACCCTATCCAGTGCAAGTTATCAAAAACGTACCCTACCGGGTGGAGGTGAAGATACCAGTGCCTGTACCAAGACCATACCCTGTTCAAGTCACTAAGAAGGTACCTGTACGTGTGCCGGTGTATGTAAGAGTGCCACAACCCTACAGGGTGGAGGTGCCTGTCCCTAGACCATACACAGTTGAAAAACGTGTGCCTGTTGAGGTCAAGGTACCTGTGTATATTCGGGTACCTGTGCCGGTAAATACTGGATTCACAGAGCAGCATCAGCAACATATTGAAGAACATCATAATGGTGTGACAAGTGATTGTGACCATTTTGTTGGACAACCACAACCCGCAGCTGTCTATGGCCCACCAGGTTACCAATCAATCAACTAAATTAACTTCCGCATTACGTGGTTATTACGTGTATATTACAATCGGTTTAAAAGTGAAAGTAGTCTCACAAAGATGAAGAATAAAGAATTAACGTTTCGCATGTAGGTGGATGTGCCTTTCACCTTTCAAGAATAGCTCCGAATATTCCAGATCTCAAAGTTAAACTGGAACGAATTTCGTACTTTTATAACAATCCCCTCAATCCGCGCGTAGTTTTCGAAGAATTGGACTTTTCCACTTTGCAAACTTAAATATAATGTATTCATTCATCTTGGCAGTCTTGTCAGCGTTCGAAAAGTTTGTCATAAGTTGGAAAACTAGAAACTTTTACTTAGCGGTTACAAATCCGGCATTTATAGTTTTTCTGTGTGTGTGGGGAAAGACATCGAATTTGTGATAATTTGTCATGACGTGTGTTTTTTTTTGCTCTCTGCGGTTTCCATTGATTTAAGCTGATTCCGTTTCAAGTGAGTGCACTTTGGGCGTAACTCAATTTTCCGGCTTTGCTAAAGACGCGCAAAGCTCGACAGAGCAAATGTCTGCCAACGCTTGAACCATTCGCTGGAAAAATTGTCGATGACAGCAATTTTCATACTGATATTTACTCAAGAAATCCTGAGATTTAATAATAAATTTAAATAATTGCAGTGTTTGATTTAAAAATAACCAGCAGTGAACTAAAAATTCAACACCTTTTTACCACCCCATGCCGGCGCCTGGTTGGCGACACTTGCGCCCCCGCAGCATACGAATTGCTTTGAAAAGCCGAATCTCATTTAAATTCGCAATAAATACACTCGGGACGTGGTGCGGTGTTAGTTTTACACTTCATTTCGTCCGCGGAGATAAATTGAAAGTTGGAATATGATAGCGGTAGAAGAGCGTCGTTAAAACGAGGCCAATCGATAAACGCAGAGCGCGCGCGACCGACCGCTGAATGAATGAAGATGTTGCCGGAGAAAAGAAAATATGTGTGCGCGTTGTACTCACCGGCCGTGTCCTTTAATTTCGAGGTGGACGTGCCGATTGCGGTCAAGGCTCCTCCGGCTCCTGCCCAGCGCGTCCGCATCATACTGCGCGATCTCGTAGTGTCGTATCCACGAGTTTAATACGTAATTTCCTGCAATCAGACAAAACAAAAACAAGCGGAGATTACTACAACGTGCAGATTGCAAAAATATACCAACGAAAAATACGTGCGGAATTTAAATATTAGTAGTTTAGTGGTAAATTTATCAATTAAGTTTGTGTTTTGTTGACCTGGCGCACAAATTGCGCAACCATGTGTGACGCGTGCAAAAACAACAAAAGGGCAAAAAGGGTAAACTCCGGTGGCACGTTTAACTTTCACAACTCGCCATTTAGTCTTGCGACGTCGCAGCCACTCGTTGCCCTTTTTCCGGCTTTGCTTTGAAGAGGGTCTGATTTAAATTTAAATTCGTTTCCTTTTTTCATCGACCAGCAAATCCAGTCTAGGTTGAATTCATGCATTTCCGCTATAATTACCAAACGGTAAAAATATTAAATCTAATTTGGTCCACGCAAGTTAATGACCACATCCGGGCGAGTGAAAAGTGCTAGTTTGCGCTGTAAGCCACCCAATTTCGATCGCTGTCAGATCAAATAACATCCAATCAAGTACGGTACACCGACCCCTGATGCCCGCAATTCCACTCGAGCTTTTAATGCCGCCCTATCTGCGCCCATCGCATTCAATATGTAATGTTGTCGCCTCAAAGAACTACTTGGACTTGAGGAAGTTACAGCAACCGCAAAGGGATCGAGACAAATGAAATTAGTCGGCAGACACACCGTTCCTAGATCAATAACAATCAAATGTTTGCAAATTTGTGAGTATATGAGCAAATTCACAATGTAATTTGGACGCGTTTCAGAGGGTAAACACGTGTGCGCGCCATCTCCCCACATCTCCCATCTTTTTTCCTGTTTGCGCGACAGCACATCCCCACAGACTTCGGTGAGCGACCCCTTGTCGCCGGCAAAGATGCACTCGGTGTGCTTTCGAGGGCGTTTTCTTCTCTCCGGCTGCCAGGAGTAGTGGCGACGTTTTCAATTAAATTGAATTACGCACGCAATCTCGACAACGCAAGCTTCTTTCGATCTATTTTTCTACGATGATTCCGATAAACACCAAACGGTGAATTTATGAGTGCAGAAATTAGAGGAAAAAGGTGCGCACGTGTCGCCCAAGGACCTTTTACCCAGCGGCCGCAATCCTGTGCCTGTTAGTGGCGCACTTTGCTTGAAGGGCTTCTGTTTCAACCGGAGGGTTTCAATTTCACTACGCACTAGAGTGCTCACTCGACAAATACTTTCTTTGCTGCTTTACTTTAATTTTCCTGACATAATTACAAGATTGCAGAAAATTTCAAAGTAAAAACTAAATTTACGCTGAAAAACTAAATTAAACATTCGCTTAGTTCATTGAACTCTTGTTTTTCCTACCAATTGACAACAACAAAATCTTGTCTGTGGGCGATCCGCGTGATTCATATTTTTCCAGGTAACCCAGGTGCGTTGTTGTTGTTGCTATCCGACGAAAAGAAGACAGGTAATGAAATAAAAGTTAACAAAGTCGAATCGGAAACTCAGGAAACGAAGGAAACCCTCGAAAGTTAATTGGAATAGTTTTTAGCATCGGCGTGCCACATGTTTCCAGGTCAGTAACACAGATGATCCGCATTGTGATGTTTTAAATGTTGTCGCGTTGCAGATTTCGCACGCACGCAAGAAAACACTATAACCGTACATTATATACAATGTACTTGTTCGCTGCGGTCGTAAATTTGCTGTTATAAACATTTTGTCTTCGAAACACATTAAAAAGCACTTAAATTGTTTGACATTTTCGTTTAAAATCAATCCATCAATTTATTAACATCACCTTTGTAGCTACTTTTGCCCTTGGCGTCCAAACAATCCTTATTGAAAGCAACCGACGTCATCTTTTTCCGATACCAGCCACCGCAGAGCGTTTTTTTGCCTGCGACAGCTGCGGCAGCGGCGAATTTTGGAGGAGGCGCCCGTCATTCATGAACCCACCGCCATGATGACGAAACGATGAACACGCAGGAAATGTCAGGAATCGAACGGAAGCGAAGATAGAAATCCCCCGCCTCCTCTCCTCAAATATTTAATTTTTGCGCGCATCCGAAAGTCACGAAAGTTATACGTATGTTCGTGCGATATAATTTGAAAAGTTCGCCCTGAAATTCGTTATTTCCGCGTGACAAACGCGCGGCGTGGATGCGTGGATGATGATATGCTTATCTTTTGCCGGTTTTGAGTTTTGCTAACTTCAAACTTGACGCGACGCAACGCGACGCGTATACTGATAGCGAGAGCAGAAAACTTTGCTCGGCGAATATTCACACCACGCATAAGGCATAAGGTGCGCACAAAGGATAAAACTTATCACATAATTAGGTATTTACTTAATACACTCCCAAAAATTTTATATCCACAAGTATTGCATTGCATTTCATATCTGTAACAATAAAAAAAATAATTTGGTTCAAGAGCGGAATTCAAGTGCAAATTTAGCTTACGTCCTCGTTGACAATGCTGTAACGCATGCTATGTAATAAATAGAAAAGTGAAAGTTGCGCAGTTGTGCACGAGAGGCTCCAGGTGAGCAAATAACGCATCCAATACTCCCAATAATAATGCACACGTTTTTGCAAATTTCCCCGAGGAGTATCCCGCTACTCTCGAGCGAAATAATTGCCGAAAGGTATGCACACGCATGAATCGATACGCGCATTCACCAACGTCAGGGATGATACATGGCTGCATTGATCACGTTTCGCATTAATTCCCATCGCAATTCGTGCGTTTTATTCGCCGTGTGTGCCCTTTGTGCAACACTTGTTGTGAAATGTGTGCCGTTCGGAAGTTGTGCATCAAATTTCGAAGCGTGAATCCTTTATACGTTAATTAAAAAGCAATTACGCACAAAACAAACTTCCGCAGCACCGGTATGACTTCACCGTCTTGGGCATTCAACACAAAACTGCTGATGGCCTTCGCGTTTCCGAGATTAACACAATTAATAAACACAAGGTTTTGTTTGTTGATTTAAAGAAAGCTACGATTGATAATGTATTTTAATTTCAATTATTAGTTGAACCTGAATATATGTTTTCGACCCACTTTGAGTTTGGGAGCAACAGATGTTAGTCACACTTGCGCTTGAGGCAATGCGCTGAATGCGCATGAACAAGACGCTGAGTCGGAGCGCAGGCAGGTAAAAAGAGAGTGGCGTCGCTCGCTCACCTTTACTTAGCTGAACAGGATCTAACGGTGTTGCGTGCGCGCCGCGGCCGACCACGACGATGGCGACGGCGATGGCGATGGCGAGCAGCAGTGGCGGCGGCGGCATAGCGCTGGCCCCTGGCGGCGGCAGGAAGACGGTCGTCCTTCGCACCTCGCATTCGCACCGCTCATCCTTTTAGGGCACTCGAAACCGACACAACAACATGATACACATGAGATACATACACACAAGTTTCCCGCTTGTTGTCCGCAGCGCAACTAGAAATCCACTTCTTTCGCACACGAGCACACGCGCAAAACGACCGTTAAGTTAAATGCGGGGACGCAACGCGTAAACAATTGCTATTGAACAGCAAACTAAATAAATATAATACACTAATTGTTGTCGCGCTATTACGAAAAACGCAGCGCCCCCGTCGACACAGACCTATCGCGCGACGTCGCGGCGCTTGACTGTTTTCCTCTTGCGCTTCACTCCTGCTGCGGACGGCGAGAAGACCGCGCTAGCAGGAAAACACGCCGCCGAGTACGCTCGACAACACCCGAACACCAACTCTAATGGCCGATGTAGCGTGGGTTGCAGCGTTCTCTTACCTTTTTAAAATCCAACTCAAAATCATTAATTAATTCATTTATTTCGGTTTAATTTAAGAAGTTCGTCGCATTTAAACCCGTTTGACTCTGCACATGACTGTTTCGCGAGTAAAATACAAGCACAGACGTACCTGGCACACACAGCTCCGCGCATTGACCCTGAATTGTAATTAGGCGATGTTGGCGTGTTGTTTACCTTTATGACGCATTCTTTGGTACTTTTCCTGCGCGCTCGGACGCCCACAGCAACTAATTACTACTATAGAACGAAAAAAACATTCGAAGGTAAATAAAACTGTATGCAACACTGCATACACCAAGTTCGACGTATATTTTATTAAATAAATTGCTAACCTATATTTTGATTCGTTATAAACACAATAGTAAGCATTACATAGCACAATATTAATGTAAGCCAGAAAATGATGAATTATTTGTTATTGCTAACTACTACACTTAATTTCTATCAATTAGTACCTATAAATTAGTCAAGTGTGTATGGAAATACTGTTGAATGTGATTAAACGCACGGTTCGACATAATTGCCCGGGAATAAACCCGTGATTCCGTCCATGACGCCCTCCCACCATCCATCGTCGTTCTTCTTCAGCACGTAGATAACGGAGCTTTCCTGGAAGCTCAACTCGTCGTCTTTGTCCGCATAATAATCATAAATGGCAACGACTGAAACAAAACAGTTGAATTTTCTCGAACATCACAAGTATTATAATAGGAACCTTTTTCAATGTAGTTCTTCGGCACCCATCCGGGAAGATCCTCTTCATCGGGGACTATTGGCTGCACACCGGAAGTCCTCGGCCGACCGAATCCCTCATGTTCATCCTCTGGTGGCGGCGGAGGAGGTAATGGAGGTGAATGAGCACCGCTGGTACGTTGCATGCGATGCGACAAAGTGTGCATCCCTAAACTACCCTGCGGTACAGGCCCGCGCTGTGGCATCATTAGAGAGTGGTGCCGCATGGATTGATTATTTGGGACGATCATTTCCTGTTGTACCAACGGAGATGGTGGTGCTAATATAATTAAAAACAAAAAACATAGTTAATTAAAGCGGTAACTAGAAAGGTATAAACTACATACGTGGCATACTAATATGTTGTTCATTCATCGCATAACCAGCATTATTTCCTGGTGGAGGCGGAGGCGGCGGGGTTTGGGGATGCTGCTGCTGCTGCTGAGCATGGTGCACACTCATTGGATGTACCATGCCAATCTGTGGCGACTGTGCCATCGGCAGTGTGCTGTAATCCCGGCCGCGTTCACAATTTCCTACGCGGATGGCCAAATGGGATACCTGCGCATAAATGGCTAGGTATAATCTGTGGTGGAGAGCCACCATTTATGTGGGCAGTACGGTACCCCCGTTTCCCTTTTTACCAATGTACCACCCAGATAATTGTAAAGCAATCAAATAAATAACATTGCCTCCTGTAAAGAGATTGAATGCTGCCCCTGACTAGATCCCTCTGCTTCTTTATGCCCTACGTTTGTTAGTGCAGTGTATTCCATGCCCAATTTCATCAAATTCTAACAAAAATAGAATAAAACAACGGAAAACATATACAAAATCATCTAACTTACTATTGTAGTCAACTGGTTTCCTCACATATTTAATAGGCTTCTCTGGATTAGCTGGTGCAATGATCTTGTATTGCCTGGTGGTGCTCTTGTTGGCAGTTAGCACCCCAATTTCTCTCCTGGCCACCTTCTCCTTGTGGATCATCACTGTTTGTGAGATATGATTCATCTGACTCTCCATTTCAGCCAACTGTGCAGTCTGCAGCTCCAGCAATTGCAGGAAATTGTATGCCAGAGTATTGATTTGGTATGCAACACTAGCTAGGGATTGAGTGGTGTAATTTTTCGTTTCATCTAGAGCTTGCCGCTTGCTTTCAGCTTGAAAATAGTTGGCTTCGCAGTACTCGGCGACGCGCTCCAGATTCGTATGATTGTCTGCCAGATTATTGCGCCCCTCAGGAATTTCCTGTCGCAAGAGCGACGCTAACTCCGCCATCGCGATGATTTGCTAGTTATTGTTGAAACAATTGACGACTCACTGCTTTATAATTCAATTGTGTGTAATGTTTATCTGCCTAGGGCGAAGTGGGCGAAGTTACAGCGTGTAGAAAATGATAATGCTGTCAACAATGGTTGTCAAATTCAAATGACAGATGTCAATTTTCTTCAAATTTCAAATCATTTCGTTGTACTTTTCTTTTATTTATAAATCATTGAGTGTGTTTGTAATGTCTTTGCTGGTGCACATTATTATTTAAATGCAATGATAACAATTTCTTGATTTGGTTTCTTGTGTGTTTAGCGACCTCTAACAGCAGCTAGCAGAATTGCATTTAAGCAAATGACCTTCAACGCTCCTGCAATACCCTGCATGTGATTTCGTGTTCTCGTCGTGCACATGTGTTGGGCGAATGTCCTCCTCCCCGTCCTTTCGTAAGTGCCTATCAGTTGAATAACTTCTGTTTTGATCGCCGGATCACGCATAAATCGTGGGGCCGAAAACGCGTCCGCCACCGCTGGCGCTCGCATTGACATGCGGAATGGTACGCTGCGAGCCAATATCGTCGATTTTAGCGTGTTGGTGCGTATTTTTGCTCCCTCTCGCTCTGTCTGCAGACGCGACCCTGTTTCACCTTGAATTGGCTGATTTAGTTTAGTATTAAAAAAAAGTAAGTGTAATAATTTGATTTTTATCCGTACCATACCCGTATCTGTTCTTTGCTATTTTGTAGATTACAACAAAAGGTGTGCAATGGCTTTGAAATGTGTGATAAAAAAGATTGCAGTTGCCCCGCGCCTGCATACAAGATGTCTGTCAGTTTCTTCAGCAAATTTCGCGCAGAATATGACTGTTCGCGATGCATTGAATGCAGCAATCGACGAAGAGATCGAACGTGACGAACGCGTTTTCCCGCGGCGGAGAAGAAGTGGCTGGGCGGCGATTTGCGCCTTTTGCCAAAGTACCTAGAGGCTCCGTGGAAGAAAATGGGGGCTTTATAAAGAGTGACTACTGATACACCACCCACGGAAATGTGGGCTTCTTTATTGGATCGCTGTCGCTGGTGTTCAGGCTTTGCGCCCATTTGTGAATTTATGACTTTCAATTTCTCAATGCAGGCAATTGATCACATCATCAACTCGGCAGCAAAGACATTCTACATGTCTGCAGGGCGATTTAATGTTCCGATTGTCTTCCGTGGGCCAAATGGCGCCGCCGCAGGTGTTGCTGCACAACATTCGCAATGTTTTGGTGCCTGGTATGCACACTGCCCTGGTCTTAAAGTGGTCTCGCCTTACAATTCGGAAGATTGTAAAGGTCTGCTTAAGAGCGCCATCCGTGATCCCGACCCCGTTGTATTCCTAGAGAATGAGCTCATGTATGGTGTGCAGTTTCCTATGCCAGATGAAGCTATGTCTAAAGAGTTTTTACTGCCAATTGTAAAGGCTAAGATTGAAAGGGCTGGTAATACTTGAATCAAATTGTATAAGATGATAGTAATAATTTGTTGCAATTGCAGGAAAACATGTCACACTTGTGGCGCATTCGAAAGCTGTTGAGTTGGCGTTGATTGCGGCGAAGGAGCTCGCTGGTAAAGGCATTGAATGTGAAGTGATTAATCTGCGCTCCTTGCGGCCGCTGGACATTGAAACGATAGGTAAATCAGTGATGAAAACCAATCACATTGTCACCGTTGAGCAAGGCTGGCCTACATGCGGTATTGGCTCAGAAATTATGGCACAAATCATGGAAAGCGAAGTGTTTTTCCATCTGGATCAACCTGGAGCGTGGTGACTGGTGCTGACGTTCCGGCGCTATAAGCGCTGCTAGCACCTGTGCGTACAAAATTTCCACAGCCACCAGACGTCGTCGAAATTGTACAAAAACTGCTCAAGGTTAAATAGTGCGTGGCCGGAAAGGCGCTGGCCTGAGCTGTGGTAGGTAAAGCTTTTATTTTGCGGGCTTATAATTTCGGCGAATTAAAGCAGTTTTACGCCTTTTATTAATTGTTTTGTATATAAGAAAGATACAAAAGACATTGCTGGAAGCTAACGGTATACAACAAAATTGTGTCTTGTCATTTTTAAAACCCGGAAATATTAGTGTTTAAATGCCCTTTCAATGGTGAAATTTGAAATATGCTGTGGAAATACCTTTCGGTATCATGCCGCACCTGGACACGCATAGCATCGCTCCTATTATTCATGCCATACGGCGCAAACAATCTGGAAGTGCCCTACCAAAAATTGTTATTTTTTTACGTTTTTTAAATGTTTGCTGTGAAACGGACAAATTTTTAGATTTCAATATCTTCTTTTATTCTGCAAAAACTTGAAATACTTTTTTAACATTTTTTTGTCTGAAGAACAGGGTCGAACTTTTTGGTTAAAATATTTTGGCCGAAGAACAGGGCCGAACTTTTTGTGTTAAAATTTTCGGCCGAAGAACTTTTTTTTCCCAAGTAGAAATCAAATTAAACTTTTAAAACGCTAATACAACTCCTGAACTGTGCGGCTGGAAGGAAAGACGGCAGATTCTGACCCCTTGAAGGGATTCTTCTAGTCAAAGATAGGCTAATAAAACATCCCTTTTTTCTGCTCAAAACTGAAAAGTGCAAAGTAGGTACCTCTTTTATAGGTTTTTGATTTTTGAAAAATCAAACTAACCACGCTATTCCTTTTGTAGAGAACCCTTTTTAAGGGATAAGGCCTGATATCTTTTTGGCGCTCGCTTTTAGTTTCCGAGATAATCGTATTGTACTTTAAACGTGTTGATACTGAGATCAGCAGCTGAACAACGGACCCCAGGCCTCTGATCATTAAAGCGGTTCTCTGGCAGATAGCGTGGTTAGTTTGATTTTTTCAAAAATCAAAACCTATAAGAGGTACCTCTTGCACTTTTCAGTTTTGAGGCGAAAAAGGGATGCGCTTTTTGGTTGAAGCCTATCTTTAGAGAATCTTCTGGCGGGTTGGAGAATCTGCTGTCTTTCCCCTTTTCTAGCCCTTAGTTCAGGGAGTTATTGGAAGCTTAAAGTTTAATTTGATTTCTGCAGGTGGAAAAGTTCTTTGGCTGGAAAATTTTAACTTTTAAAAGTTCGACCCTGTTCCCTTCCGACAAAATGAGATGGTTTCAAGTTTTGCAGAATAAAAGAATGTTGAAATAAAATTTGTCCGTTTCCCACAAACCCAAAAAATTTAAAAACGTAAAAAAATAACAATTTTGAAGGACATCTTTTAGGGCACCTAGATTGTTTAGCGCATTAAAATGGCATTACCTGTGTAGGGATGGCCCTAAAACTATGAAAACGGCGTTGAAAAACCGGGCAAAAAGTGTATTAGTTCAGTGAGATACAGGGTGTTTTCCACAGCATGTTTTCAAAATTTCCAAAAAGGCCAGATGTGTTTGAAGGGCATTTTAGGGCACTTCCAGAATGTTTTCATGGATTAAAATGGACATTGTATTGTGTGTGTAGAGCGTGTCTCTTGTTATAAAATGACGCAGAAAACTCAAAAAAGTGTATTAGTTTGTGAGATGGGTTACAGGCGTTTTCCCACAGCATGTTTTCAAATTCTAAAAAGGCCGATGCCTTGAAGGGTACTTTTAGGGCACCTCCAGACTGTTTAGCGGATTAAAATGGCATGTATTGTGTGGTGAGCGTCTCTAAGCTATAGAATCGCGTTGAAAAAGTCGAAAGAAGTGTATTAGTTTGCGAGATACAGGGTGTTTTCCACAGCATGTTTTTAAAATTTCCAAAAAAGGCTGATGTTTGAAGGACATTTTAAGACACTTTCAAAATGTTTACCGGATCAAAATGGCATGTATTGTGTAGTGCGTTTCTAAATCCATATAAAATGGCGGTGAAAAACTCCAAAAAAGTGGGTGCATTAATTTGCGAGATGTTAGGGTGTTTTCCACAGCATTGGCCTTCAAATTCCCTCCCAAAAGTGGTGCGGTTATTAGATCAACATTTTAGGTCATTTTTGCAGGTTAAAAAAGCATGCATCGTGTAGAGCGTCTCTTAACTATCATGTGACCGTAAGAAACAAAAAGAAGGTACATTAGCTTGAGAGATACAGGGTGTTTTCCGCACCATGTTTTTCAATTTTTTTAAAATGCCAATGTTTGAAGGGAATTTTAGGAGACTTTTGTAATGTTTAGCGGATAAAAATGGCATGCATCTTATAGAGCGTCTCATGAACTATAATATGGCGGTGAAAAACGATGTATTCAAATTTTCCGAGTTCCTCTGTTCTCTCTTAACACGCCGTGAGCCAATGACACCGCGACACTACGTATGTATACAACCTTTCGTACACGTCTCACTGTCAAGCACTGAATGCTGACGCAAGATCGGCAGTCTCTGTTCCATAATTCCTTTAAGTAACAATTGAGTTAGTCCACAACTACTGAGGACGATGCCAACCATTGGTGTGAAACGAGATCTCCTCTTTGAGGCGCTTGGCAAAAAGTATAGTAAGTACTTTTCACACAAATATGTTCTAATTGGAGGTTAACCATAACTTCTTTGCTTAATTTCATGCAGGCGATGACGAATTTCAGCATTTATGCTTCGAGTTTGGGCTGGAACTTGATGAAGTCGTGAGTAGATCGTGCAATTTACCATATATTTACTGATTGAACAAGTTTCTAGACCACAGAAAAGCAGATGATATCAAAAGAACAAGGTGAAGATGCCAAGCAAGCCGAGGGAGCATCTGAGGATGTCATCTACAGGATTGACATACCTGCTAATAGATATGATTTACTTTGTCTGGAGGGACTCACATTAGGATTACTAGTGTTTCTTAAAAAGTAAGAAAAACTCCAAACACAATGCTGTTAAACCATGAGTTATTTTTGATCTATTCTAAGGATGGAATTCCCAATGTACAAAACAGTGCAGTGCAGTGCTTCAGATAACATGAAACTTGTCATCAAGCCAGACACTGGAAAAATTCGCCCATTTGCAGTTGCGGCCATTTTGCGTAATTTGTTCTTTACTAAAGATTCCTACAATTCATTCATTGATCTACAAGACAAGTTACATCAAAATATATGCCGCAAACGTTCGCTTGTCGCAATCGGCACTCACGATCTGGATACTCTTGAAGGGCCTTTTGTTTATGACGCTAAACCTCCTGGCGAGATTAAATTTATTCCCCTCAATCAGACCAAAGAGTTTACCGCTGCAGAACTTATGGATTTCTACTCAGTAAGAATGAAATTTGCTTAAAATATACTTTAAACAATTTAAATGTTTTAGACACATGCACAATTGAAGCAGTACTTGCCAATTATCAAGGATAGTCCGGTATATCCTGTCATTACTGACGTCAATGGTGTGGTATTATCATTACCACCAATCATCAACGGCGACCACTCCAAGATCACATTGAATACGAAGAATGTGTTCATTGAGTGCACTGCAACTGATTTAACTAAAGCGAAAATCGTGTTGGATACACTCGTCTGCATGTTTAGTAAATATTGCAAGGATCCATATACTGTTGAACGTGTGCGCGTCGAGTATCCAGATGGAAAATATGAAGATTGTCCTGAGTTGGACTATAGGAAGGAGATTGTACAGTGTGACAAGGTTAACAAGTGCATTGGGATTAGGTAAATGTGTATTACTGATTTGGTTGATTTAAAGTATATTTTGAAAGTTTAAATTTAGTAAAACTGGTGAAGAGATTGCGACGCTGCTGTCAAAGATGTGTCTTGAATCCGAGCTTCTGGAGTCTGGCGCGGTGAGAGTGACGGTTCCTCCCACGCGGCACGATGTTATTCACGCTTGTGATATCTATGAAGATGTGGCGATTGCGCATGGATACAATAACATCGAAAGGACCCTGCCGAAAACTTCAACGATTGGTCAGCAACTACCGATAAATAAATTAACTGACCTCTTGCGTTTTCCGATTGCACAGGCCGGATTCACTGAAGCGCTTACTTTTTCACTGGTAGAGACAGCTATTGTTTTAACAAACGATGTATATGTATTGATTTAAACTTGTTTTTAGTGCTCACGAGACGATATTGCTTCGAAGTTGGGTTATGACATCGAGCATGTGCCTGCTGTGCACATTTCCAACCCGAAAACACTCGAATTTCAAGTGTGTAGAACCACTCTTTTGCCGGGGCTGTTGAAAACCATTGCTGCCAACAAGAAAATGCCGTTGCCAGTGAAAGTTTTCGAAATTTCTGATGTTGTTATTCGTGATGAAGGGGTTGAGGTGGGTGCTCGAAATGAAAGGCGCATTTGTGCAGTCAATTGTAACAAAACCGCTGGTTTCGAGGTGGTTCATGGTTTACTTGATCATGTTATGATGTTATTGGAAGTGCCTTGGGATGCCGAGCTAGGGTATCAGCTGCGTCCTATTGAAGGCAAGTGCATGATGCAGATTTTGCATAAACAATATGATAATGTTCGTTTTTTGTTTTCTTCTATAGATGCATCATATTTTCCACGTCGGTGTGCCGAGATTGTTATGCGCGGCAGTGTAATCGGTAAAATCGGTGTATTGCATCCGGAGGTTTTAAGCAAATTTGAGTTGAATAATCCTTGTGCAGCTGTTGAAATTAACATTGAGCCGTTCTTGTAAGCACTGAAATAAAGATGATAATAATTGAAATTGTTCTGTTTTGCATTGTCACGATTTACGTGCCTGGCGTTTGGGTTGCCTACGTTGTCACGTTTGCAGTTTGCTGCGCCAGATATCGCTGCTGCCTGTGGCAGAGGACGCTGGTGGCGACGGAACTCGGGTTTAGCTGGAATTCGTCGGCCATCGAAAGAAAATGGCGACCGTGATCAGACTTTAATCGCGCAAGCGAATGTGCATCGAATGTTCCATGGTGATCGGTAGTGAATCGCAGAAGCGATCGCGTTTATCAGCTCCGGGCGAACGGTGTGCGATCGGTTCGGATGTGCGAATGATTGGGCAAACATGCAGAATGTAGCACAAGGATCCGGCGCCGATAACAATCCGAAAATAGAAAAAGTTGTGAACATTCACCAGCAGCAGCAGCAGCAGCAGCAGCCACCGCAGCCGCAGGACTCGTCGTCGACACCGCGCTCGCATTCGACCACAAATTCGAGTCCGGCCAAATCCGAGACGGAGACGTACTCTGAGCATCGCCAGTACATCTCCGACACGTCGGAGAGCGAAGAGGACAGCGTTTCTGAGGTAGGTCATATTCGGGCATTTTGCGCTCGCTCGCACACGCACGCACACACGCGAGCGCGCGCGCACCGTGCATGCATGCATGGTGTGTGGTGTGGTGTGGCTGGGTGAACCTCGACGACGACGACGGGGAGGCCGCACGGTATCAATGAACTTCCGACGCAACGAGACATCTTGCGGCCCGAACTAATGACATGACAATGCCGGACGGGGGCTGCCCGGCGTGCGGCAATTGTTTTTTTCCAGAACGTTGCGGTAGCGGGATCGACGTTGCCATTGCAAACGCCAATGAAACAAATGAATATCGCGAAATCGTACCGTCTCGCGCATATTCTCCCAGTATTGCAACACGCATATTTTCCTAATCGTCGCAGTGATTGCGTTTCTTCACGGCGGCCGCCAACACAGACAAGCAACGAACGATTGTCTTCCATCTGTAAGTGCCATACATTCATGATGTATCGCTTTTGATTGCTATTTGAGCGCTGTCAGAGTGACAGTTGCGGGGACAACCGGAAGTAAGGATGAATGTGACAAACTGACGGTCACTTTGGCAGTCCTGCACTTATTTCGGCGCCGCCGACAAATTATCGTGTTTTATTTATTATTCTTTCGATTTTATTTTGCGTCCGGTTATGTGGAGCTAGCACATTTTGCCCGAATTCCGAGCCGTGGCGTGCGAGCGCGCGGCATGTTGCGCGCATTGTCCGTTTTGTTGTAATGCGATAGCCGAAAACCTGTTTGCCGCGACTGCTGCTGCTCCACCGGGAGGAAGGTGAGGTGGATTTTTGTTTCTTGTTTGAATTTGAACGAACCTGAAACACGGACGGTTCTGGAATGTTAATCGCGATTGAAACACTCGGTATATCGTTTGGTCACTGTCTATGCATTGCGGTTTAGGGTTGAGCTCATTTTCAATTTTTCGTCGCTGTGTAAGTACCCATTGCTAGTTTCGATTTCGCTCTTGTGAGGTTATGATTTGCGGAACATGGCGTGCCACCAGCCACCAGCGAATAGGAATGAAAATATTGTCGGTCATAGTTTACGTGCGCCGTGTGTCTGCTGACATGCAACACTGTTTGTTTTTTTAAATAAGGTGAAGGTTCAAAATAATGAATTCAAGTCGATGTTGCGACTTTTTCTTATCGTTCTGATGCAGTGTGGAATGAACGGGCACCGCGCTGCTGCGATAATTGCGGATGCCGACAATAAAAAGTGTATCATCAGCTCTCTGCACATGAGTCGTAATTTAATTTGGACGAAGGCTAATAGGTGGTTTTTATCTCTTGGTGTTGCAAACAACAATGGTGTGTTCGCATTCTTTGTCGGCGAGAGAAAGTTGGTGCTTCCCGGTCACGTAACGCCATGGCTAATGCGTGTGTTTGTATGTGTTTGCAGGTGGAATCGTTCGTGATCGACGAAGGGGACAATTCGTTGGAGGCGGCGAAATTTCTGCTTAACGCGCAGCAGAATCGCACCGTTGATCCGTTGACGCAAGCGCGTATTGAGCAGCTGCTGCAGGCTGCGGGTATCGGGCAGCTTGCCACCAAGGATGGTAAACATCTAGCCGATCCGGAAGTCTTGCGCCGGCTGACATCGAGCGTCTCAAGCGCGCTGGACGAGGCAGCGGCGGCGCTGACGCGCATGCGGTCCGATACTTATCCCGGCAGCAATAGTAACAACCCTCAGGCGGCGCCACAGCAGCCGCAGCTGCAGCAGCCGGAGAAGACGTCGCTGGTGGAGGCGTGCACCGACGGTGATGTGTGCACGGTTAAGAAGCTGCTGACCGAGGGACGCTCCGTGCACGAGACGTCCGAGGAGGGCGAGAGTCTGCTGTCGCTCGCTTGCAGTGCAGGCTACTACGAATTGGCGCAGGTGCTGCTCGCGATGAACGCCAACGTCGAAGATCGCGGCATCAAGGGCGAATGCACGCCGCTGATGGAGGCCGCGTCGGCCGGCCACTTGGATATTGTCCGTCTGTTGGTGCGGCATGGCGCGGAGGTGAATGCGCAGTCCACCACGGGCAATACGCCGCTGATGTATGGCTGTGCCGGCGGACATCAGGATGTTGTTAAATTTCTGCTCGAAAAGGGCGCCAATGTCGAGGACCACAATGAGAATGGGCATACGCCACTGATGGAGGCGGCCAGCGCCGGCCACGTCGGCCTGGCGAAGATCCTCCTCATGCACGGCGCCGGCATCAACACGCACTCGAACGAATTCAAAGAGTCTGCGCTTACGTTGGCCTGCTATAAGGGCCATTTGGATATGGTTAAGTTTCTGCTCGAGGCCGGCGCCGACCAGGAGCACAAGACCGACGAGATGCATACCGCCCTCATGGAGGCCTCCATGGATGGGCACGTGGAGGTGGCGCGCCTGTTGCTCGACTCGGGCGCGCAAGTTAATATGCCGACGGACAGCTTCGAATCGCCGCTCACGCTGGCAGCTTGTGGCGGGCACGTTGACCTCGCCATGCTGCTCATCGAGCGCGGCGCCAACATCGAAGAGGTCAACGATGAGGGTTACACGCCGCTCATGGAGGCGGCTCGCGAAGGCCACGAAGACATGGTGGCGCTCCTGTTGAACCAGGGTGCGCACATTAACGCGCAGACGGATGAGACGCAGGAAACTGCTTTGACATTGGCTTGTTGCGGTGGCTTCACCGAAGTGGCCGATTATCTCTACCAAGCGGGCGCTGACATTGAACTGGGAGCATCAACACCGCTGATGGAGGCGGCGCAAGAGGGACACCTGAAGTTGGTCGAGTATCTCCTGGAGAAGAATGCGAATGTGCATGCGCAGACGCAGACAGGCGATACTGCTCTCACGTACGCGTGCGAAAATGGCCACACTGATGTGGTGGACAAACTGCTGCATTATGGCGCGAACATGGAGCACGAGTCCGAGGGTGGTCGTACCCCGCTGATGAAGGCTTGCCGTGCGGGTCACCACTGCGCCGTGCAGTTCCTCATCACCAAGGGCGCCAATGTGCACCGACAGACAACCAACAATGATCACACCCCACTATCGCTAGCTTGCGCCGGCGGACATTTGAACGTTGTTGAGCTGTTGCTGGCGACTGGTGCTGACCCCAACCATAAGCTCAAGGACAATTCCACCATGTTGATCGAGGCGGCCAAAGGCGGTCACACAACGGTCGTTCAGCTCTTGCTCGACTTTCCTCATTCGATGCTGATGAATCAACCTTCTGCGACGGCGGCCACTATGCTCCCCGGCCATGTGTCTCCCTTGCCCAGCAACGCCACGCAGAGGATGAACTTTTTCCAACCGACTGCAGGTAAGCGCATCACTTTAAATAATGATTGTATGACAATGACAATGGGCGTGTTTGACTTAGATTTCTCGCCGGCGGTGCTGCAAGAGGTCCCCGAAGCGGTTCGCATCGTGCCACATGAGGAGGGCGTCGACAAGCAACTAGCTGAGAGCCTGGCTCAGGCGGATTCCACTGCTACCGCGTGCAAGGACAATGTGCGCACCTCTGGCGTCAATGTTATCTTTGACACGGCGCTTACCACCGCCGAGGCGCAGCAGGTGCGCAGTCAGCCTTTGGCGTTCAGCGAGTTTGAAGACTGCGATCTGTACGCTGCCACCACCGCCACAATGGAGTTTCTGGCCAAGCAGCAGACGACCCAAGCACCCGGCGGTCTTATCGACAAGAAGACTAGCATCCTGGAGTACGTGAAAAATCGCAAGAAGCTGCCAATCCAAGTCCCCCCCACCGCGGTGTCCAGCGACGAGGGCAGTCAAAAGCAGCAGATACTCGATGAACTTCACGTAAGCTGCAATCAGCAAAATTGGGGTGTAGTGGGAGAGCAGGAGGGTGAACGCAGTGTGTTGTTGCAGAGAGTGGATAGAGAGTTTAGCGGAAAGCAGCAGCAACAACAACAGCAGCAGCAGCAGCAGCAGCAGGCGCTGTTTCCGGCTAATGCAGTGCCTCAGGACGACAATTCTCAAGCACCACTGCCGCACAGGTCTATTATTGATATTGACATTCAAGACGACGGTAATATACAAACATATATTGTTGATTATTCGTTCAATTTGCAGTGTGTTTGATTCTAGGCGTGGGCGGAAAGCGGTCGGTATTTCCAGTTCAGGATTTGAACGCATTTTATGCGGGAGTGCAGGCCGCCGACCTCATTTACCAGACGGCGCAGAACCAACAGCCGCCGTTTTGTTTCCCTCCCATTAGCGCCACAGCCGCTACTACCACGACGGTGACGCCGGTCAAGATTCAGCCGCACGCCGACGTTAGCCAGAATACCGCCATCAGCGACCGCCCGAAGGCGAAACCTGTCTCGAAGAAAGAAGGCAAGAATGTGCGCAAGGTTTACACTTTCCAGCAATTGCCGCCACCGCAACTGCCGATGGTGCAGCCCGACGTGGCGATTACGGCCGCGCCAACCGGCAGCACAGCAACACCGATTGCCACTGCCGCAGCGGCGACCTCAGTCGACAAGTCGCTCTATCCCCTGGATCTCGATGATGCGCAACACGACAACCTCAACACGGCCAACTTCCTGCAAGACCTGCACAACCATCCACTCATTCGCGCCGCCTTTGTCTCGTCACCGTCTGCCACTTCTACATCCACTTCGCCGCCAGTGGTCGCGCCGCCGAAGAAAGCCAATCTTGATTATGTCTTCAAAAGTGCGACCAAGTTTATTGAGAAGCACACCAAGGATTTGCAGTTGCAGGATTGCATTGTCGATGACCTGCAGTGTTATAATATTGGCGCTGACCAGCCACAGCAGTCGCCTGTGCCGACGCAGTTTTCCGAATCTCTGGACGAAAATATGCTGCAATCACTCGCCCAGCAGCAGCAGCAGCAGCAGCAGCAGGATTTAGCCGCCGGCGATGACCACGACGGGGACGTGTCGCGCGTGGAATACTTTGCCGTACCGAATCACAGCGTCGACTTGGCGGGCGTGCAGGTAGGGAATATTTTGTATGCGCATGAATCACGAGGGGGGCTTGATGTAACTAACCGATGATGTTTGTTTTAGCGCACTTTTGATCCGTACGAACAATATCTGCAGGCTGTCGGCAACAATACCACCGGCACGTTGATCAAAACGGCTTTCTGTCGCGGCTTCCAAGCGCAGGCCAACTACAGTCGCATGCAGCATGCGACAATGGGCACGGCGGACCAGCAGCCGGCGATGCCGATCATCACCGAGACGGACGTGTCACCAACGTGCACGCACATTGGTCCTACCACAATCGTTCAGACGAATCACTATTGTCAGGTGTCGTGCAGTCAACACTTGAATCAGGTCCAAGCCGCAACGCAGACGCAGATTCAAACGACGGCTGTTGACGCGGGCAAGAAGTGCACCAAGACCAGCAGTTCTTCTACCACTGGCGCCACTAGCGCAGTGGATAGCGTGAAGAAGAAAGACCGATACTTGTATCGGAATGTCCAGAAGAAGAAACTGATGGACCCGAATGCGATTGGCGCGCAGTATGGCGACACGGTCGCCGTGCACTGTCCGGCGGTGGACCAGGCCAACTTCTGCATGGATGTGGACTCGGAGACCGAAAGCAATCACGATACTGCACTCACGTTAGCTTGCGCCGGCGGCCACGAGGACCTGGTGGGATTGTTGATTCAGCATGGCGCCGACATTGAGCATCGTGACAAGAAGGGTTTTACGCCGCTGATTCTTGCCGCGACCGCCGGGCACGAGAAGGTCGTGGAGTTGCTGCTCAAACACAATGCCGATATTGAGGCGCAGTCGGAGCGAACCAAGGACACGCCACTGAGTTTGGCATGTTCCGGAGGGCGGTACGAGGTGGTCGAAATTCTGCTGAACCGCAACGCTAATAAGGAACATCGCAACGTTTCCGATTATACGCCACTGAGTCTGGCTGCATCGGGCGGCTACGTGAACATTATCAAACTGTTGCTGCAGCAAGGCGCAGAGATCAATTCACGCACCGGCAGTAAGTTGGGTATCTCTCCCTTGATGTTGGCTGCGATGAATGGCCATACGGCGGCGGTGAAACTCCTCCTCGACCTGGGCAGTGACATAAATGCGCAAATCGAGACCAATCGGAATACGGCGCTAACACTGGCTTGCTTTCAGGGCCGGCATGAAGTTGTCAGCCTTCTTTTGGATCGAAAAGCTAATGTTGAACATCGCGCCAAGACTGGACTGACGCCCCTAATGGAAGCTGCCAGCGGCGGCTACGTAGATGTGGGCCGAGTTCTCCTCGACAAAGGCGCAGATGTCAATGCTACGCCGGTGCCGTCGTCAAGGGACACCGCGCTGACCATCGCCGCCGATAAGGGACACGTGCGGTTTGTCGATCTGCTCCTGAACCGTGGTGCGGCAGTGGAGGTGAAAAATAAAAAGGGCAACTCTCCCTTGTGGTTGGCGGCGAACGGCGGGCATTTGAATGTGGTTGAACTGTTGCATGGGCTTGGGGCCGACATCGATTCGCAGGACAACCGAAAAGTGTCTTGTCTAATGGCGGCCTATCGCAAGGGACATGTCAAGGTCGTGAAGTGGATGGTTAATCACGTGACGCAATTTCCCAGCGATCAGGAGATGATCCGCTATATGACCACGGTGAGTGAGAAAGATAATGACCTTGTCGACAAGTGCCACGAATGCATTAAGATTATTCGCGCCGCGAAGGAAACGCAAGCGGCGAAGGCCAACAAGAACGCTTCGATTTTGCTCGAGGAATTGGACATGGAGAAGAATCGCGAAGAGTCGAAGAAGGCAGCGGCTGCGCGGAAGCGCGAACGCAAGAAGAAGAAGAAGCTCGAGAAGAAGGAGGAGAAGCGCAAGTTGTTTGAGGAGAACAAGAAGAACGAGTATTATGAGGACAAGGACGATGACGACAAGGATGACGAAGACGAAGAGGACGAAAAGGTGCCGATTCCACCTGTTGCCGTTGAGCATTCGGCTGACAAGGAAGAGGGCGACAGTGGCATCGACGCCAATAGTCAGGGTAGCTGCTCTAGCAACGATGTTAAGTCGAAAGAGAAGCGCAAGGATAAGAAGAAGAAGAAACCCAATGGCACTCTTGGCTCCTCCACCACCACCACCACCACCAACACTTCATCTTCGACAACGGGTCCGCTGTCAACCACCGTCGTGCCGAGCCCCACAATAAATATTAGTGCTACACCGATTACAACGTTAAATAATAAACCTTCCATGGCGAGCGTCAAACCAGAGAGCAAGAAAGAGAAACAGAAGACCAAGAATGAGTTGCGCAAGGAGAAGCTGCAAGCCCAGCAACAGCTCTTGCAACAACAGCAGCAGCAACAACAATTGCTGTCCGAAGCTGTCTGCACCAAGAGTCCTGCCGATCGCGACGAGTTTGAGCCGTCCGGCAGCGACAGTTTTGTCACGCCGCGCAAGAAAGAAGCCGAGATTACTAAATCGTCAAGTTCCTCCACCAGCCCCAAACAGGGTAGCAAGCGTGAAGAGGGTTGGAAAGAGGTGGTGCGCAAGTCATCCGTACAACCCACGCAATCGGACTCTGGCGTGAAGAAGGTGTCTGTCCCGCTGAATGCAATTTCGCGCGTGATAGGCCGCGGCGGCAGCAACATTAATGCGATTCGCGGCGCAACCGGCGCTCACATTGAGGTGGAGAAGCAGAGCAAGGGACAAGGCGAGCGCATCATCACCATCAAAGGCTCCACTGATGCTACGAAACAAGCGCATACTTTGATTGCGGTGCTAATTCGCGATCCGGACGCAGACATATTGCAAATGTTGCCCAAGACAAAGGCTCCGCCAGTAGCCACTACCCTCTGGGACAAGACGCAGATTGGCACGAAGAAGGTGGCTGTTAAAGCGGTCAGTCAAATTGGGCAGTCGTCTGTCGGCAGCTCCGTGGTTCAACAGCAACCACTACAACAAAAACAGCTAACGGCCGTCGTGCAGGTGCTGAGGAATAGTGCTGCGGTGGGCGGCAAGCCACGTTTAGCCGCGCCGGGAGGATCGGCGCCAGCTCCTAGACTGGTTGCGCAAGCCGAAAAGGAGAAGGCGCAGCAACAGCAACACCATCAGAGAGCGGTTGCTATTTCGAATGCAGCACGTCTGCCAGCTCCTTCTATCAAAGCTGTGCAGAGGAGTTTTGCCGCCAAAGTGAGCGAGCACATTGGTGCAGTCGCCACACAGCCACAGCCTCTCGCTCACCAGCAGACAGCGATGCAAATTCAGAAACAGCGCCTGATGGCGGCGCCTGCCCCTCCGCCGGGCCCGATTAGTCCGAACGCTGCGCTCCCGCTGCATCAGCAAACTTCGACGCAATCATCTCCCAAGCACAATTCGCGTCCAGCGCCCACGTCTTCGGCACCGCCCAATATGCAGCACGTGCCGCCACCGCCGCCACATTCGCAATCTGCGGCCAAAGCTTTTTCGCAAGCGAATATCGTCACCAGCCCCACCGGCGAACAGCAAGTGCTTAGTCAGCCCTGCAGTCCAACGCCGAGCAAACCCGATGAGAGTGTGAGCACTCAGCTGTCGACCGCTACGTCCACGACGCAGAGCGTGTACACGCTCTTCAACGATATGGAGAAGCGGCCCATTTGGCGGCACGATACCGAATCTCAGAAGCAGAACTTTGCTGCTGTTACCGGCGGCGGCGGCGGCGGCGGCAGCAGTGGCGGTGGCGCAGTTTCTTCGAGTGGGGCGCAGATGCAGAACAAGTATGAACATCCAACGAACATCATCACCATTGATGCCTCCAAGGCGCCCGGCTATCGTGGCAATGCGATGTGCTCTCCGGTATCGTCCAAGACGAGCAGCAATAGCACCACTCCACCCAACAGCAGCTATCACTATGATAAACCACCACCGATTGCGCCGATTGGCAGCCATATCCCGCACAATCGCCCGCCCAGCCAGAACCAAAATCAGACCGATTCCGTCGGCAGCCATTACTTTGACCGGCCCCACATGCCACTGCAGATGCCGCCGTCATTTGCGGCCGATATGAATTCACATTATGGGTTCCAGCAGCATCTCAACTTTGCTCATGCGCAAGGCGGGCAGGACTCGCGCCTCAATCCCAAGGCGCCCGACTTTCACGGCAAGCACCAAAGTCATCAGAACCAGAATGTCTACAACGGTTACAGCAACATGTTTAAACCACCAAGCATATTTCACCAACAGCAACCGCCGCAACAGCAGCAACAGCAGCAGCAGAGTAACGCAAACGCGTGGGCGATGCAGTTTAACCCCACCAATGAGCAGCACCAATTGATGAATGGCATGGCGGGTATGACGCTTCAGCATATTGCGCGTGCGACTGATCCGATGTATGAGGTTAGTGCGGTCGTGGACACCTCGCCGACATTGTCGCCCAAATCTATGATGCATTTTGGCGACCTCCAGCAGATGGGAGGTGGAGGAGGAGGTGCTGGTGGTATTGGTGAGGATCGTAAACTGCCCCAACCTATTGGCCCCATCGGCATCGAGCGTTCGAGGAAACTCAACCCCAACGATAACAACGGCTGGATCAAGGAGCGCCAGAATACTATGCAACAGATGTGGCAGCAGAATGCGCCCCGCATTCCGAATCCGATTGAGCCGAGGGAGTATAATATGCAGCAGCGTGCCGCCAATCTTCCGCCGATCTACGATTACTACCAAGAGGTAAGTTGAAGATGAGCATTATTTACGCATTTATATTCATGCAATAATTATTTTCCCCCAGCACTCGATTGGGGTGTTGATGGAGTCGAATATGAACATGCCCTACCCGTCGCCGCATCACCAATTGCCGATGGCGTCCAATTTGGGCTTGGAGTATCCGCCGGAATACAAAATGACCACGTGGGATTCACGTTCCAATAATGTCGATATGCAAGACAAGCAACAACAACTTGTAAGTTGCCAGTATGCTTGCGGTGCTTGGGTGTTCGTGAAGTGAATGAATATATTCAAACTGTGATTTATTTCCCAGGGATGGTCTGGCGTAGCAAGCAACAAGTGGAGCTCGTAACTTGGAATAACTGGCACAGGACGTTCCAACAATAACAACAGCAACAAGATGAACCGCGTAGAATTTCAGTTTCGTTTATCCATTATCTAATAATTTCACTCTTCATTTCAATCATTTTTTGTGGAATTTTTTTATTGTGCATGGGGCGTCTGGACCGTGATGTATCTAAATGTTGCACGCGACACACATACACACACTAAGCAGCCGACACCCGGCTCTGGTAGACGTAATCCTTTAATTACTACATAACTAAATGAAAAACACTATATATATATAATTATATTACTGAGGAGGTGGAAAACATGAGTGCAGGATGCAAGCGTAGTAGCAGAGCCGCTGTTTCTTTTTGTTAACGATTGATATATTTATTTATATATATGCATATTTCTATATACATATATATTCGTAAATATATTCATAATATAGAAAATATAAAGCATAAAAATGAGATGTATATTATATATATGAGAACAATATGAAAATCATGGAAAATAATGATCGAAGCTAGTAGCAGGTGTGGCTGTCCACATGAATACAATGGAAGTGCGGAATGATTTTACATGAATTAAGAAATGCGATTATATTGAGATGGTGAATAATATTCAGAAGAAGGGAGAGTGTCAGGAAGTTCTCACAGAACTTGTAGGGTTATATTATACGGATTATGTAACATTTGCTTGTACATGAAGACTTAAGTATATCTTTATGCACTGTATGTTCATGATGTTGTAGTATTTATCCACTCACTTTTTTAAAGGATTCTTTATTGAAAAAATGAAGACAATGCTAGAATTTGTCGGGTGATGTTAATTTTAATTATTTTTAATTTCAACCAATTTTCTATATACGTAGCGCATTTTCAACAAATTTCCAGGCGAGGTACTGGATTTTCAAACTTACAACCAATTTTGCATGCGCAGACAGGTGGCGTAAAAAAGTTCCCTCTATTCCCATACACGCTACTCAAAACTTTACATTATGCCGTTTAATTAATTTTATTTGCGCTTGTCAATTCGGTTACGGCATAGAAATTAAGGAAATATGCTGTGTGCGATTGCAGTTTTCCAGTTTTCTACTAGTATGGGCCTCCGCCATTATACAGCGCTAGTAGCTTTAAAGGCGGCATGCAGTCTCAACTTCGTAATTATTTTACGTGCCGATAGATGACGCTACATGCTTCTTTTAAGTTTATTTTTCTGCAATTAATTTTAATTGTCTTATTTTGTGCGTTTAGCAGTTGCAGCTGACGAAATCTTTTTTAATTCGCTAGTACTATTATTTAATGTAGCCCTTTGTCATTTGTCAGAGTTGAAATACGGCAATAAAACATTTTTTCCGTGAAGCACAGGGTCGAACATTTTAAGTTAAAATATTTTCGGACGAAGAATAGGGTCGAACTTTTCAAGTTAAAATATTTTGGGTCGAAAAACAGGGTGATTGAACAGCAGAGTGAACAGCATGTTTTCAAAATTTTCTTAAAACACCGATGTTTCAAAGGCATTTTAGGGCGCTTCCAGAATGTTGAGCGGATTAAAACGACATGTATTGTGTAGAGCGTCTCTTAAACTATAAAATGGCGGTGAAAAACTCAAAAAAGTGTATTAGTTTGGGAGATACAGGGTGTTTTCCACAGCATGTAAAAAGTGACATTTTTTAATTTTTGCCCATTTCATTCAATCGCGAATATCTCGTAAACTAACAGAGATAAATAGGTACAACTCGCAGAGAATATTCTACGGACTAATATCTATAACATACAATAGTTAAAGCGGAAATCTGATAAATAAATTTTTTTTTACTTAAGAAAAAATTGCCAAGGGGGGATGCTTGATACTTTTTTCGACGATTTTCAAAAATTCATCTCTCTTAAACTAAAAGAGATAGCTACTACCGAATTGTTGATTATGAAAGATTGGAAGATTGTCTATCAGATAGAAATATAAAACAATTGTATTTCTAATAGTAAAAGGTCGAAAAACGCGACTAAAAGTGCTAAAAAGTGACATTTTGCAATTTTTGCCCATTTTATTCAATCGCGAATATCTCGTAAACTAAAAGAGATAATTAAGATCTGATCGCAGCGTCTTAATCTACAGACCAATCTCTATCAGATAGGCTATTTGGTAGTAGTGAGTGCACATCGCCTAAGTTGGCGAATTGCGGGCCCGGTAAGATCACGCGATTTTGTACGTCACATTGTGTTTTCATCAGTTTATTTGTTTACCTCCGCCAATCTTCTTGCCGTGTGAACTCACGCGCAGCGATACCACAAATACTGGTTTGTTTCGGGCAGTTTCAGGTATGACTTTCGTTGTTTTCAATTTCATTGCAATATCAACCTTGTTGCATATTTGATAAATGTGTTTTGAATATTTTTAAGTTGATAAATATTTTCAAAGGTTAGATGGCGCTACGATGAACGGTTTTGCATTAAATATTGCTTGTTGGTGGTAGTGAGTGCACACCGTGTCCGTGTGGATCACGCGATTTCGCGCAAGAGCTAGTTTGTTTACCTGCAGGTATCGAATCTTTATTTCGTGGAATCAAAACACACCGTTGTTGTTTATTATTTTAGCATCGTAAATTTAAATATTCTTCAATTCTTTCATGAATATAACTAACAATTTTATATTAATTCGAATACATTTTTATTATCAGCAGTTGATTACGGACTAATGTGTTACCTGGTAAACGAGACACGATGCATGTTCAAATTAAATATCACTTAAATATTTGATTTAAAATCTGACAATCTGTTAGCATAAGAAATCAGAATTACGCAAATCGAATTTTAATTTTTTATTACCTTTACTAATCGAAACTACTGTATCATTTATAGATGGCAATAGCATGTACTAAACATTCTAAAATAAACTTGTACTGTTTATTTCTATATTTATCAGCAAGCGTGAACCTTCGACACAAGAATTGTGGTTTGTTTGAACACAATATACACATTCTAATCGCATTGCTGTGTGTCGTCGTTGCCAGCACCCCATGCCGCATGTTGCTGCATCTTAGTTTAGTTTGGATCCCAGGTAAACTGCCAAATGCAATTCGTGCACTAACTGCCTCATCTAGAGATGCGTAATTAAATTCTCCGTCGGGTGGTATTTGTTAGCGGTAGAAGTGATTCGATTCAGGGCACCTTACGAGGCTAGCGGTAAAAGTGACTCGTGTTCAGGGCACCGTAGAAACCCGCAAAAATTCGCATAAAAGGGTAATTTTCACCCTTTCTCGTGAAATGTTGGTATTTTTTCGGGTTTACGCGCAATCTAGGCGGCTCACTTACTTCAGCGAGGTGTTTAGAGATGCGGAATTAAATTCTCCATCGGGTTGTTTTGTTTGTTTTAGGAATTTGGTCTGCAACCCGCGAAAATTTGCATAAAAGGGTGAATTTGTCACCCTTTCTCCTGAAATGTTTGTATTTTTTCGGCTTTACGCGCGATCTAGGCGGCTTACTAACATCAGCGCGGCATTTAGAGGTCCGGAATTAAATTCTCCGTCGGGTGGTGTTTGCTTGTTGCACGAATTCGACCTGCTACCCGCGAAAATTTGAATAAAAAGGTGAATTTTTCACCCTTTCTCGTGAAATATTTTGTATTTTTTCGGGTATACACGCGATCTAGGCGTCTCACTAACATCAGCATGGCATTTAGAGATACGGAATTAAATTCTCCATCCGGTTGTATTTGTGTGTTGCAGGAATTCGACCTGCAGCCCGCAAAAATTAGCATAAAAGGGTGAATTTTTTCACCATTTCCTGTGAAATGTTTGTATTTTTTTGGGTTTACGCGCAATCTAGGCGGTTCACTAACTTCAGCGTGGTGTTTAGAGATGCGGAATTAAATTCTCCATCGGGTGGTACTTGTTTGTTGCAGGAATTCGGCTTGCAACCCGCGAAAATTTGCATTAAAAGATGAATTTTTCACCCTTTCTCGTGAAATGTTTTGTATTTTTTCGGGTTTACGCGCGATCTAGACGCCTCACTAACATCAGCGTGGCATTTAGAGATGCGGAATTAAATTCTCCATCGGGTGGTACTTGTTTGTTGCAGGAATTCGGCTTGCAACCCGCGAAAATTTGCATTAAAAGATGAATTTTTCACCCTTTCTCGAGAAATGTTTGTATTTTTTCGGGTTTATGCGCGAACTAGGCGGCTTACTAACTTCAGCGCGGCATTTAGAGATGCGGAATTAAATTTTCCTTCGGGTGGTATTTGCTTGTTGCAGGAATTCGATCTGCAACCCGCGAAAATTTGCATAAAAGCGTGAATTTTTCACCCTTTCTCGTGAAATGTTTGTATTTTTTCCGGTTTACGCGCGAACTAGGAGGCTTACTAACTTCAGCGCGGTGTTTGGAACTGCGGAATTAAATTCTCCATAGGATGGTATTTTTTAGTTGCAGGAATTTGGCCTGCAACCCGCGAAAATTTGCATAAAAGGCGGAATTTTTTACTCTTTCTGGTGAAATGTTTGTATTTTTTCGGCTTTACGCGCGATCTAAGCAGCTTACTAATTTTAGCGCGGTGTTTAGAGATGCGGAATTAAATTCTCCATCGGGTGGTATTTGTTTGTTGCAGGAATTCGACTTGCAACCCGCGAAAATTCGCATAAAAGGGTGAATTTTTCACCCTTTCTCGTGAAATTTTTGTATTTTTTCTGGTTTACACGCGATCTAGGCGGCTCACTAACTTCAGCGTGGTGTTTAGAGATGCGGAATTAAATTCTCCATTGGGTGGTATTTGTCTGTTGCAGAAATTCGACCCACAACCCGCGAAAATTTTCATAAAAGGGTGAAATTTTCACCGTTTCTCGTGAAATGTTTGTATTTTGTCGTGTTTACGCGCGATCTAGACTGCTCATTAACTTCAGCGCGGTGTTTAGAGATGCGGAATTAAATTCTCCATCCGGTTGTATTTGTTTTTTGTAGGAGTTCAACTTTTAACCCGCGAAAATTTGCATAAAGTTTTTTGATTGAGAATTTTTCAATCTTACATAATCTACAATTTTCTAGCTGCTATCTCTTTTAGTTTAGAAGATATTCACTATCGAAAATCGTGAAAATAAATTATCAAGTACCTACCCTTGCCTATTTTTTCTTATGAATTAAAATTTCATTTCTTAAATTTCCAATTGAACTAACTTATTTTTTTCATCTGCCGAGAAATATTGAAAGTAAAAGGAAAATTCATGATGTGTATTTCAACATTGTGAATTTTTAGTTTCGTCTTCTCAACTGCGTGTATATCAGTTGGTTTGGGTATAAACAACTTTTTTTGTTCGACTGAAGCGTGATATCGCTGCATACGTGCCTTGTACCCGGCTACGCGTAGCGCTCACGGCAGTTGTTTTACCGCGTGGTCCGCGAGCGTGTCTCTCTAATCGTCACGCATTTTGATGTTTTAATTAGCTTAATCGTCGTGTATTCTTTCGACCATCGGCAAAATGTTCGCAATTGGCATGTGTGCCTGATTTGTTTAATGATTTATGGCGGTTAGAGTCTTCTTAAGTGAGAAATAAGTGTCCGTTAATCCCTGCGCGAGTTTTCAGTTGATAGAATATATTATAGGATAGAAAATCTCCTCATAAATGCACAGGTGGGTGGATAATTAAAATTTTTCTCGGAAAGTTAAGGCGGTTTAACTTAAATTGATTATTCAATTTGAGGGTTATTAATTTTGTAGATTACAAACACGTGGTGGCATTTTTATTAGAATTCTGTTTAGTCGCGTTTCCGAAAATAACCTGCTTCATTTAATAAATACAAGCACGCTTTTTAAAATAATCTGAGGATTATTAAAATGACAATATTCATGTAGTCGACCACGCTTACTTTGCCGTTGGCCGTCGTTTCGGTCATGTTTTCGAGGATCACAAAAACATTTTTAATCGAATTGCATCATTAAATTAATCATTTCTTGTTGAAATAAAATCTTAAACGGTGAATAGTTTTTCGTTTTCACAGTCTCAGTATCTATATCAGCTACGCGCCGTCGCTTACCGTCTGTTGATTTAGATGTTTTCCGCTGGATATTCTATCAATTTATGATGGTGCTTCACCCGTCGGTTACCTTATACAGTTGATGCTACCATCAATTATATTAGTAGGTATGTGTTTTATTTTTGTAGCACCCCTTTGCTCAATTTTCCGATGTTTTTCGGGCAAAATCTCTGTTTTTATATTAAAATATTGTTGTTAATTTTTAAATTTGCCTCTTCATATTGTGAATATTGACTCCCTTTGTAGTTTCTAAAATTTTCTTTTAGTAACACCCTGTATATTAGTTTTCCGAACAGCACGTAGAAAATCATCTTTAGTTGTGAGTTTTGAGAGCTCTCTGTTTTGAACCTGCAATTTTCTTTCTAGAACACCCTGTATATATGTTTTCCTTTGCGTCCGTGAAAATTTTGCTTTAACTCGCGTGTTCAGTATTTTCCCGTTTGCACCTTGAAATTTCTTTCTGGAACACCCTGTGTATTAGTTTCCCTGTTCGTCGAGTGAAAACGAGCGACGTTTGTAGTGTTGCGAGTTTTTTGTTTGCACTTTAAATTTTCCTTTTGTAACACCCTGTATATTAGTTTCCATTTTCAATCACCTAGAAAATTGGCTATTTACTAATTTCATTATTCCGGTATAACTTTATGAAGTAGTAGTACTTGATGGCATATTCGCGGCTGTGCAGGTCGTAAGTCCTGTTTCAATATGGCGACATGTATTCTGTTGACTTGTAAAATATAAACTTGTATTCTATTGTTAATAAATAAATAGTAAGATACATTGACTTCTTTGATTTGTGTACCCCTTCTATCATTTCAGGAACAGGTCTCTAAGAGAGTTCCCTCTCTCAGGTGATGATCCCCACTATAAAAATTGTTAAGGTATCCTGTATGATTTGTGTACTCCTTCTCTCATTTCAGGTATAGGTAAGAATACTTTTAAGTGTCCCCTCTCTTGAGGCGACTTAAAAATTAGAAATATTTTTACAAGTCCTTAAAAGGATGTCCTTATAAGGAGTTCCCTCTCTCTGGGGGTGATCCCCCACCATAAAATTTGTTGATATGCCTGATAATTTCGGGGATGAAGCGCAGAGACATCGTAGCTGTAGGATGGGCCGGGAGCAATGGAGGCATCGAAGCAGTGGGCGATCGACCAGAGCGCCGGAGGCGCTCTGGGTGATCGACCTGTGACTGTCTTATAACGACACGTGCCAAAAAATTTAAAAATTCCGTCACCCCTATTCTCTTTTCTTCCTGTACTCTCTCTTCTTCTCTTCTTACTTTTCTCCCTCTTCTGCTGATCTCTCTACTTACTACTCCTTCTTTTTCTCTTCTCTTATTTTGGTCTGTTCACCGTTTCTCCACTTACTTTTCTTTACTTCTCTTATTGCCTTCGCTTGTATTGCAATTTCACTTATATTTTATTTGAGTTTACATATGCAACCCAAATTTCACCTGTTATTTTTATATTTGAGAAAAATGCCTTCTATACCTGAGATTCGATCCGCGTCTTCTAGCATGCTAGCAGGTGCACGTACCCACTCGACCACCGAGTGTTTTTATTATCAATATTTGATTCTTCTATTTATATTTCTACTTTATTAAACTTTTTAAAAACAACAACAGAACATAAGCAACAGTTGTGCTGTGTACGCTCCATACACATTAGATGCCTGATATGCCTGTAACTACAACTAAAACTGAAAACGACAACGTAAACATCAGGATTAAATGTGAACGAGATATTATAAATAAATTATCCTTTATTGACTTAACCATATACATGTATTATAAAATCAATTCAAATGTATCTGCAAAATTTAAAAAACAGAAAAAAAAATTTACTTCTTTACCTTTACATACTCATTTCTTGTTCCATCCAACCAATGGCAACCATTCCACCCGACCTAACGAATTAACAATTGAACCATTTCGACTAATAAATCCAATTGGAATCCGTAGCCCAACGGAGGAAAGCCGACGACCATCGGCTACTGGCATATACACGCGCACGTGGTGAACTCTCTTAATTCTGGAGACGATCCGCGATAAATCGTTTAGTCAGTAGTCGATGACCAAACGATTCGAATGTTTACAGCGCATTAAAACAACAGAATTGCTAACAATCGCGGTGAAGGTTGACGGAGAAAGAGAACACGTGCACCCCACAGGACTGCGCACAACCGACTGACTAAGCCGGCACGGCACTGTTCAAATGGCTGCGCAAGCCCAGGCCGAACTGAAAACATAATTCTCTCTTGCTCTCGCGCACCTCATTCTGCATTTCTATATTAGTTTCTTGAGCGGAAGAAAAGAAAAACTATTCATGTTATATATAATTTTAAAAACTATTCGAAATGACAGGATGTAAACAAACAGTTTACATTACCGACATTACAAACGTACAATTAATCTGATAATTACACGTTCAACTAGTGCATCCCTTACGACAATAGAATATAACACAAGGAATAATTAAATTCTATATCTTTAGGGTCCCCGATGATATTACGGGGATGTCGTGCTCAAGTGGTAAACCCTAAAGATAAGATCTAAGAGATATGTTGCTAATTAAGCAACGAGTGATATTACTAACTTGCTAACCCTCGCACTAAAAAAAAACAAATAATTCGGTGGCAAACAAATAACACACGACAAAACTTGTTACGAGGGCACATAGTCCAAATTTCTATAGTTTGGTGCAATAATCGCCCGAATTAGTTAATCTACGAAGTGGTAAAATGTTCAATACCTACCTGATATCAAAGGAAATCAGTTTATAACTTCAGAGAGAAATATAACACAATTACACCTACATTTGTTTGACATGATTAAAACAATAAAACTATTTTCATATTGCATTCTTGACATTTATGAAACTTTGTTATGATCAAGCAATGAATTACACAATTTGTTCCATGTACATGCATGACTATAAATTTATTCATTGAGTATCTTTAGATTTAGATTTAGAACAGTATTCATTGTCTAACAAAACTTATTAATGCACAATCAATCTCGCCAAACAACACAAAAAGTGTTAATTAGGAATGTAATATCATATTTATTTAACCTTAGGAGGAAATTTAGGGAAATCGCCCTGAAAAAAGCAATAGATGTCATTGAAGAAGAAAAACACGCAATATTCTCATTTACACCCGAAGATACCCAGTAATGTAACACTTGACAATTTGTAATAACGCATTAAAGAAGTTCATGCTTCATAAGCACTAAACCAGAGACAATATTATACAATTTTATTGCGTTCATATCGAACGATTCATCATTTAAATAGGTTTTAAGGATTGAGTTCAATACTTACTAATTTATTCAACTACTTTCTATACCACATTTGAATAGCAGTCATCCGCTTGACTTTCTTTTGCAACTGCAGGATGCCATACATCAGAGCTTCAGCAGTAGGTGGACAGCCAGGTACATAAATATCTACTGGGATGATTCTATCACAACCCCTGCAGCAATCAAAGATTAAATTAAATCAAAACGTACATCAGTTGAGTTGCTATACCTGACGACAGAATACGAATAATGATAGTAACCGCCACCATTCGCACAAGATCCCATTGAAATAACCCATCGCGGCTCGGGCATTTGATCGTATACCTTCCTTAAAGCTGGAGCCATTTTATTCGTCAACGTACCCGCGATAATAATCACATCAGCTTGACGTGGTGACGCACGGAAAACCACACCATACCTAAAACAAGCATGAAATGATTGAGTCCAACACCAATCAAAAACCATACATACATCACTTAACATACCTGTCCATATCGTATCTGGGAGCTGCAATGTGCATCATTTCTACTGCACAACATGCTAAACCAAAGGTAAGTGGCCAGAGGGAACCCTTCCTGCCCCAATTTAAAAGATCATCCAGACGGGCCATTGTGTACTCAGCCATATTGTTGGTGCTCACTCGGAAGGGCGAATAGGGCTTGTAGGTGCCCTCTGGAACCGGTGCAGGCGCCGCTGCAGGTTTGGTCGCCTCATGTCTTTGCACGACACCGAAACTGCCGCACAGATTCTTCAAGTTACTCACGAGTGCAGCACTCTGGCTGGAGGGCAGGAGAGCTCTGCTCAACATCTGAAAACGATGTTATGTAGTAAAATACTAACTAGAATGATGTTTATACCATTTTCGACGGTTATTCTCAAATAGAAACAGTATTTACGTAATAATTAAACCAGAAATGGAGGCAACCACATAACCTGCGCCTTTTCGAGACTGCGCATGACACTCATGACCTTGACGAGTGTCAACTACACGCTTGCCAACTCAACTCACCGCACCACGAATATTTGAATTGGCGGCATGTATCCAGCCCGTTTATAAGATCCTTAAATATCCTGGGGATGAACATGGTGTGCGAGGCTGGACTATAAAATGATAGAACTCATCGTAAAAGAAATTGATTTATATATGACTATACGTTTCTAGTATATAGAAACAGTTTTTCATTAATATGTTACAATCACTGATCCTTATGAATCATACACATATAAAATGGTCTTCTAGCGCTTGGGAGGAATAGGTACAAATATTATCTACAATACAGGCTCTATCTACACTCGCATTGTGTTGCATTATTCGTACTGCTTGTTTGCATTTTGTGTCGTTTATAGTTAGAAACGGATTGTTTGTATGCACAGTACACACACCATTCTAGCCGACGACCGCTTTTTAACGAAAAGATCAGATTTGTATCGAACCAAAACGCACTCCGTCATTTTAAATGTTGTTGCAAACCCAGGATTCGTTTAGATCTTGTCTCATTTTGTGAGTTTTTTAAATACATGTATAAATTAAATATCATAGAAATATGACTAATTTTTACCTCCCTTGGTCCTTTCTAATTTAAGTACACATAAACACACTATCACTATGTTCACTGTGAACAGAGTGTGACAAATGTATGTTTTTACAAGAAATGTTCAAATAAACTATGATACAATAAAACTGGTTTCGCTCGCTTGTTTCGCCTCGAATGGCGTCGCACGCCACACATCACGCTTTCTGTTATCTTACAGGGATGGTATGTGCATGTTTGCATTTATCACACGCTCGCACTTGCGCCGCGACGGCTCGGCCGACTGCATTTTATCGCATTATATCTCTCATGATCGTAGACGATTCGTCGACCAGCTCTGCAAACATTCGGGCGCGCACCGTCGCCGGCACTCGCATTCAACTCATCATCTCATTCACACTGCACTCGTAAAATGAAAGAAATAAATTATCGTTTTATGCTATTCGTACATAAATAAATGAATATTCACTAGATATAGTTATAAAACTGTTTTAAAATATCCAGCAGTCTTAAAGTAATATTGTAGAAATCAGGAAATAAGTTACATTCAGCGAATCAAAAAAGCCATTACAGGCTACACCACGTTTTACGAATTTGTATGTACACTTTGCTCGCCAGGGGCCTCCCTGAACATAAATTGCTTTCTGTCTTTTTACGGCCGCGCAAACGAGCCAATTGCTCTCGAATAAACCAAGTTGATAAAACGCGCTTACAAATAATACAAAAACTAGTTAGACAATATTACAATAATGCTTAAGCAGGTATCTTCGGATTTTTTTTAGATTCATTAAATCATATCGTCTCCCACATATTTTCTCCGTCCTAGAGTCTCGAGTCAAAAATATTTACAATTTATTTATATATTTATATATATATTTGTATATATATTTCATATATTTCTTTCTTCTGTCTGTAATTTCTAAGTTTTCTTGCCATTTTCTTATTAACAGCGTCCGCCACTTTGCGTCATGAGCGGACATGAACACAATTTTTCCTCATCATAGAATTCAAAGAGAAGCATATACCTGATTTTCCACACGTAGTACTTACTAGTAAAGACAGTAAAGTGTTTTTTTTAAAAGCAGCCGCGCACGAACAGATGACGTGAACTCATAAAAACAAAACGAGGAGTACTAAAATTTTGTTAACGCTACCAAATCAAGAGGGCACCGCAGAGTGGGGGCGCGACAGGGCGCCCGCATGAGTTAAGTGCCACCCTCACGCGGCATTGAGATTCCTAATTTATTATCACCGAATGTGCTATCGCGGCTCCTCCTTTTTGTGAAGGTCCGTCGGCGGCGTGATGCTGAGCTTGTGCGGTGGCGGCGGGCCGGGACCACCAGGCCCGGGCCCCGGTCGCAGGTGCATCAGCGTCGGGTCCTTGGCGCGCAACTGGCTGGGGTGTTGACTGGCGGCGTGCGCATATTGGAACATCTTGACGCGCTCCTCCTCGGCGCGGAAGGCGGCGTCCATGAGCGGATTGGTGCCATAGCGCAGCGCTGCATCGTAGCGGAAGAAGGCGTCAGTTGGCGGAGGCCAGTGCGACGGCGGCGGTGCATAGTGATGTTGTAGACTACCAGGAGGCGGTAGCACTCGCGATAACTGCAGCTGCTGGTGTGGAGGTGCGTGCCGCAAGTAGGGGTGGTAGCGTGGATCGACGGCAGCGGCCGACCGCAACAATTGTACAGTCTCTTCCTCCTTGGAGCGCGGTTCCTCTTTGATGCGCATGTCGGAGACGTCGCCGTTTCGAAGCGGCGACCGGTCGCGTATCACAGACTGCATCGGTTTGGCGGCGTCGGCAAGCCGCTGCTGATGCAGCAGCCGCTCCCTTTCACGATCCCTCTCCCGTTCGCGTTCACGCTCCCTTTCACGTTGCTCGCGTTCTCGCTGCTCCAGTTCGCGGCGCTCCTTCTCGCGCCTTTCGCGCTCTCGCTGCTCGGCTTGCTGCAACACGACACAAGACGACTTAGTACCATTATTCCATGCGGGTAAGGGCGTAAATGCCGCAAATTGAACCATGTGCTGGCGTTGATAGCTTACCTGCTGCTCAATGCGACGCTTCTCTTCACGTTCGCGTCGTTCGCGCTCCTCACGCTCGCGACGCAACCGCTCGCGTTCGCGCTCTTCACGCTCCCGCTGCTCGATCATCGGATCGGGCTTGAGCGGCCAAGGCGCCATCGTCGGTGGCAGCGCCGGCGGGAATCTCCGCCAGTCGTGCAGCATCGTCAGATCGCTCGGCCGGCCGGCGGCCGACGGCGGGAAAGACGATACGTACGGTGGCCCGCCCGGCGGCTGCGGAAAACCGGGCGGTGCGGCGCCGCCGTACCGTGTGAAGGGTGAAATTGCGCTTCCTGCAATTTTCCTCTCTTTATACACGTCCAGGTAGGTACCGACTGGCTTACCTATGTGCGACGCCGGCGACGCGAACATACTGCTCGGGTGCGGCGGCTGGTCAAAGGTAGGCGGCGGCGGGCGGTGACCGAGCGAATGCGGGAACGAGGGCAGATGCTCGTTCGCTCGCACGCTCGGGTTGAATAGGTGCGTCGGCTGCCGCAGCAGCTCGCCTTTCAACGTGCCCGGCCCGCCTTTGTCGCCCTTGTGTTGATTCTGATATATCTCCCAAGCGATTCGCACGTGCATCGCATTCCATTTACCAGATTTCTGTACAAAAATCAAACTTATTTAGCATACGAATGCATCATCAGGGCATTAGTAAAACACAAAATGTGTTACACCTCAAGCAATATATCACAGGCAATAGCAATGAAAGTAACAAAGCAACAACGATAAGTCATTGGACGATAAGCTTTTGTGGGATGATTTCGCTCGTTCCCGATATTGATATTTACGTACCGTGATCTTGGGTTTAGCGGGCTGGTCAGCGGTGGAGGGCTGTGGACAAAGATACAGATTGTTAGGGGGCACATGCTAGTTAGTGCAGGCATGCCAGGACCAACGCACACACTTGGCTTGGTTAAGTTATACACAGCGCGAAAAGCCTGTTGTTTTATGATTATTGTATTAATGCCGAGCGGTGTGCGGAAAGAATGAACGTACCTTTGGTTGAAACGCTGGCAGATGACTGGGTGGCGCAAATGGCGTCGGTCCGGCTGCTAGTCCAGGATGATGCAATAAACCAGGTGTGTAACTGGGGTAGGTTGGTGGCATACCAATATTCTGTCTGTAGAATGGAGATTCGTGCCCACCCAACTTAGGAATATCTTTAAACTGCGAAAAGAAAGTCGAGTTTTTAGTAATCTTGTTGTAGGGACATTAAAGTAATGCAAGCTTACCAATGGTGAGGGAAAGAGTGACGTCGAAGGCGGCGGAGGTAGTAAGGAAGTTGTGTGCTGATGCACGTGCGTGTGATGGTGCTGATGCTGGTGCATTTCGGTGCGGAGATAAGGCGGCGGAGCAACGTTCATCCCGCGACTGTCCTGCGACGCCAGAAACCTGTTGTCCAGCTCGCGGCGTAGCATGTCCTGGCTCGACGACTGGAACAAGCTCTCCGCCGAGAAGGGATTGGGGTTGGTCGACGGCGGTGGCACCGAGGGCACCGTTGGACTAGCAGTGGACACAGTTGGCGGCGGCAGCGGCGTGGCGAACATGGGCGGGTACGGCGCGCCGTGTAACGGTGGCGTGGGCCGCGTCGCCGGACTCAGCTGCGGCGGCGGTCCCGACCACGACTTGCCGGAGAGACTAGAAGACACTGTGGTGGTAGTAGGCGGTGGACAGCTAAGCGGCGTCACGCTCGTTCTGCTCAAACTGCTTACATTGCTGTGGGCGCAACGTGCGCAAAAACAAATGTTAAAAATGCGTCCCAGAAGTACTGAAAGTGGGCTGTGGGAAGAAGAACATCAACTCACCTAAAACTTTCGCGTTCGCGTTCCCGTTCACGCTCTCGTTCTCGCTCGCGCTCCCGACTCGGTGAGCTGCGCGGCGTGGGCGGACGAACGGCCGCCGCCGGCGGGTGGCAGGACGCCGTCACAGTGGTGGCCGGTGGCGTCGGCGTAGGAAGAGCCCCCGTGGAGGAGTACGGCGTGTGCACATTGGCCGCATATGGTGCGTATGGTTGATAAGGCGGATGGTAGCCAGGCGCGGAGGTAGCCACGGCGGGGCTGTCCGTCCGCGCGCCCGGAGTCGAGACCAACGCCGGCGGGTGGTGCGCGACGGGCGCAGCGGCCGGCTGCGGCATTGCATGGCTAGCGGCCGTCGTCGCCGCCGACGGCATATGCACGGAACCTGGCGGCGCCACCGCCGCTTGCGCCGGCGAGGGCATGCTGCTTGGCGTTACAGTCATTGCCGCCTCCAGCGGCTTCTTGTCTTCGATCACGTGCCTCTGCACGACAACCGGTGGTGGCGGTGGCAATTGGGCGGGCGCCGGACTCGGTGGCGGCAGGTCTGGCGGCGTGGGCGCCGGCACCGGGCTGCTGCCAGTGCCATTGTTCAGCGAGGGCAGGCTGGGTGGCAGCGCGCCCGGGAACTCGTGCTTCCTGGACCCAGGCGTCGCGCCAAATATCACCGAACTCGCATCGGATCCCTGCAAACGAAACGTGGATACGATTAACTTCAGGTGTCATCATCATCATCATCGTGCAAACAAGAAAACAAAGTCATCGACACAAGTACAATACTGCCCGGCTCGAGTGTGTTGTCGAGCCAATGTGATGAGCCCTTCGCGAAGAGCGCCGCGCTCGCGGGTGGAGGCGCAGGGCAACGTGCGGCGGGCGGCGCGCCGCGTAGGTAGCAGCAGCGCCGGCGACGGGCTGCATCTTGCAACGCGGATTATCGATTGCGGCGTCCCCTTTTTAATTGCGCCGACTCGCAGACTCCCCGCGATCCACCTTTTCTAAACCGACGCGCAAAAACAACTCTTAACTGATTCTCCCCGAGCGCGCAATCGAAAAGTAAACAAGTTCGCCGGTGAAACGAATATGCCACTTCATTCGCCCGAAAGCACACAATAACAAGTCGCTTAAACTCCCACTCGCCCCTTTGCGCCCTCGGCGACGGGCGCTAAATCCAATATGTCTTATTGGAAGCGTCTCAATCTCAATCTTACACATTCCCGCGACGGTGTCGGATTTACACCACGCATAATTCTCCGCGCACTTCGCACGCAAAAGTCGAAATATAAAATTTACGGATTTGCGAGCGTGGCGTAGGAGGCGTCACACGGGGAGCGAAAACAAAGTGACAATAAAACTGAACGTGAACGTTGGTACAGCGCGCAAAAAAAATAGTGAGTGCTCGCTCGCTCGACGCGCGCGGGCTTTTTCTCCCTTTTTCCGAGCGAGTCATGAATATTTCAAAAGCGCTCGCGCTCGTTTCCCGCCGAATGCATTTCGCCGCCCGGTCCTTTGCCGTTTATACGACCGCTTAGGCGGGCAGCGTCGGCGGCGGCAAAGGCAGCTCGCCGCCGCGCGTCTACACACTCCAGAGTCGCGCGAGCGCGCGCGCGCGAATATGTAAACGCAATCGTAAACTCAAACTCAAAGCCGAAAGGTAGCGAGGCGGGCGAAGCACGGGATATGATGGCTCGCAAACGCACGCATCGCCTTTTTACGGCTTACATAAAGGACACAACAAGCGGATATATACCTCGTGTGCGCGCACTCTACCAACGGCTTTGCGCGAAGATGTTATAAGACACACACACACACACACACAACCATCACGCGGGCGGCTTTTACGACCACTTATTTGTTCGTCGCGAGCGACTTCTTCGCCACCGGAGTCACTCCGCTGCTTCTCATGCGGTCGCTTCACTTTTTTCACCGTCGCCTTTGTTTATGTTTATCTCTGTCGGCGCATAGCTTCGGCTTTAATGCGCGCGCGGATTAAATATGCATGCGCGCCGTGCGTGTGTATTGATGTTGATGAAAAATCGTAGATTTTATCGTCGCTTAACACGAAGTTAATGCGCCGTGTCGAAGCGAGCGAAACTGTCGAATGAAATGCATGAGTGCCGTCGGCGAGCCGCGCTGCTGGCTGTTGAAAGCATAAAATGTAATGCAATATAAAGATAACGAGGGTGCATACGTTAAAAAATATTTGCGTGCCATGGAAGCCCCCGGACGCCCGCTGAACGTTTTTACGCCGTCGGGGATGCTCTACAGGGCATTAAATATTCCGCAACGCAGAAAAAAATAAAATAAAAACAAAGCGAACGTCGCAAAGAACACAGGCGGTTAAGGGATGGGAAAACAACCCTCTTAGAGTCATGACTACATTAGATGAGAGAAGCGATTCAAGTTTAATAACATCGAATTTCGCAAACACTCGATATACTTGAGCCGCGCCGCGGATTCATACATAATATAATATCGCGTTGCGTTAGTTTCATCCCGCTTTCGGCGGGGGAGCAGCGCACAGCATTCGTATGCCTGACGCGTGCACCCCCACACCCACGCACACAGGGACAACGTCGGTCAGATTGCGCGGCCGGGCGGCGGATTTTCCCTTCGGGGCTTGCGGTTTATTTGCTATTAATTCGAACACAATCCCTCCGCAGGGGGTGCGCTAATCTCACGAGATATGTTTGCCTAGTAGCGCGCGCCGCCGCCCCCGGCCGATGTCCCGCAGCTATTTGGTCAATAATCGTGCGAGTCTTTTGCGCTAACGCGCGACATGACGACGAACACAGCGTCGATAACCACGTTAGCGCGACCCCAGCAGCTCGCCGCCGCACGACACTTCTTCCTGCATAATTAATTCGTCTCGATTACGAGCCGCGAATTAACTTCGCATCGCATCCTCGCGCGGCGGCCTGATTGATACCCGCAGCACCGAACACATGCGGCGCTCCGCTCGTAAAACAGCCGACATTCGCGCACCCCTTTTATATATCATGGCAAACGTCGTTACCTCGGGGTCGTATACATGTAACGTGCCTATTAACATCGCCGACTGTCGCTAATGTCCTATCATAATCGTAACCGTTAAACGGAGCGCGCACAAATGAGGGACGCGGGGTGAACGACGTCGCCGGCGCCCTCACACTCACTCACTCACTCCGGCATTCACACACCCATTCGCGCCGACCTCTTTTCATCCCGTTTCGGAAAAGCTTAAAACCTTAACGCCGACGCCATCCCGGGCGCTTCCACTCCGCCGGTAATGCGATGTGTAACGTAATACACTGTAATGTGTAATCCAACGACGGACGTAAAAGTTTTCATTCTGTTTTATTTAACAATCGCGGCACTAAACGCCTCGGATTTTCACACTTTCGGGTTCGCTCGCTCGCGCGCGCGCGCGTCTTTATGTCTTCATCTACTTTTTGTCATCTCTTGTTATCGCGTGTTTATTTAGTTTTACGTTTGCCGCGTTTGGCTGCTTTCTTTTTGCTCGAAACTTATTTTTTATTTGATTATCTCTCCCCACGTCGTTGCTTGTTTTATGATTTAGTGCCCACGCGCCTTCGCCACGCTATTAGATTAGATTAGTTCGCGAGTAAATGAGGCGTAATCGACGACGACGACGACTATGCGACGACGTTGCAGCCGGCGATAAAACGCGCGAAGACGTCGACGTCGCCGCCCGCTCGTCGTCTTGCTGCTCGCTTTTTGACGGGTTACAATGTCAGCAGCGCGCTGGCGGATCCTAACAGCTTTCTCGCGCGAGACCCGATCGTGACATGCATAAGTGACTCGCTTACAAATTATTACAGCTTGTAACGGCGTGTGATTCCTGATATAAATAGGACTTACCAGCGAGCGCGCGAGTTAAACTGGCCGTGATACAAACGACGGCTTCGAAAATAAATCGACGTGTCGACAAATCCGCGCGTTTGGCGAGTTAATCAATGTTTGCTACTTTTAAGTTTTCCGCGGCGCCCACAGGAGGGGAATGAAAAATTGAAAGAAAAATGTTTTCCTGCCATAAATCACAAACGAAAAGCACAAAAAAAAAACACACGCGCGCAGAGAACGAGGAAAATATAAAAATCGAGCGGAAGTTCGCAAAGTTTGCGCTGTCTGTCTTTTGAAAGAAAATTAATATAAAACTTTGCGTCTTGCGATGCTCCGGGGGTTATACAGAGTGTTGTTACAATTTGAGTACACATGTTCGCATCGCAGTGAAAACATTCAATTTCGAGTTTTTCCCCGCCGCCGCCCCCACGCACGATTGCGTGATTGTGATGTATGCATCCGTGTATATAGGTATTATCAAGTAAAACATAAATATCAAATCAAGAATGCTAAACTAGCGCTACACGCTCTGCGTCCAACCAGCCACATGCCTAATATGTACGCCGGTTTCCCGTAAAATTAAATAAAAGCACGCGATCGCATAACTTAAAACTTTTTCCAACTCACTTCCCTCGCCGGCGCGCATACAGCATGTCCACAGCGGCGCGCCGTGGAGGAAAAAAAATCGCAGTCAATAATTAACACTTCGTTCGGACGCTGGTGCGCTGCACGAGCAAACAAAGCGCTTTTACTTTTCCGGCGCATTGGCGGCGATGCAATAGCGCAGAACACACTAATATGATTTATTATGCGCTTGTTAAACATGCGGTATGACGCGACCGGGACGAAACTCTCGCATGCATCGTCGGCCGGGGCGGTTGTTTGTTTGATATACGCACACTCGCGCTTGGGTTTCGTTTTCCTTTTTCCATGTCTTCTCGCTTAATAATAACATTGTGTGCTCGTGTGTTCGATTTTCTGAGCGGTGCGCGCGTACATGTGTTCGTGCGCAAAACAAACAAGCCCTCCCGGGCATTATAATTGAATGCACATTATAATTTATTAGTTGTGGTAGTTATGGCTCGTTGTAAAATAATGCGCGACATGAACTGGATCGAAGTCGGGGCGGGCTGGAGTGTACGGCAACGAAGCAAGAACAAAAAAAAAAACACCAAGAAGAAACAATGCTTAATGTGATACACCTATGATGTACAATTGTTTTTCGCAATAATAACGCTTCTGAGAATATTGTTTGCAGACTTGTTCTAATGGCTCGCTTCGCTCGCCTTGACAAGCAAATTGGCAAACTCATTGGTTTCGATCTGTATCCTATCGGCTCGCTGGTTTAAAGTGAGAAGTGGCGCAAAAAGTTGCACCGCTCGGATCTGCCCTCGGCGTGATTTAGCTCTCAAGATGGCCGCGATATGGTAATTGGTGTCCATTACGATGTGCGTATGCTTCGCGGCAGGGCGCGGGGTGCGTGCACATTTACGACGCCGTTAATGAATGGTTTAAATGTTTTTTGAAAACAGTATATACGAATATATATATATATATATATATATTATGGTCGTAAACGGCGACTGGATTCGACCGACCATCGTAATAGATTTTATGACGGCTGTTAACATAACTACCATTAAATAAATACCCTCGCCACGGCTAATAACGCCATAAAACATTTTTATTGGCGCACACATACGCGAGCTCCGCATCCCGCGGCCCTTCGTGCGTGTTTCGGTTCCGTTTCGCGCGCGCGCGCTCCCCATTTTTCTGCGCGTCGCGTTTTTCATCATCGCCTTTGTCTTTCGAGTTTAATTCCCAGCGCGTTTCGCTAGTTCGCCGG